GAGTCTTTAATCTGTTACTTTAATAAAGCACTTGAAGTATAATTAGGTCCCAACTCTGTTCAATGGAAATTCTGTCTAGTATGGATAATGCTAAGCGTGATGAGTTATTTTAATATTTTGGATGTGAGTGCTGTTAGACGATCAGACCTGAATTTAAGTGGCTAAGAAGGTGTGAATAAATTCTGAGGAATTCTAGCTTCTTAATGGATGAGTAGCGAGGATCTGCTATTCTTTAATAGCTAGCTGAATTGCTTTCAGCTTCGTATAAATAGATCTTATACAGTACTACACAGTTGATACTATTTTAATGCACAGAAGTTACAGATTGTCAGCTCTCCAATGGACATTTAGAAAATCGTAGCATGCTGCTGTTGAATTATCAGATTATATGTTACTGTAGTTTGTTTTTTGAACGACTTAGCTTGGTATTTTGTGGAAATAGAAGCAAATTCTCAGGTGGCCTTAAGACAGGTTCTTACAAGCCCACTTATCCAACTCAGGAATTACAGTGGTGTCTGGAGCATATACGACAGGATAAAATCCTTGATACTATTCAGGAGGATTAATACCGCCTTTAAGTTTATTACAGAAAATGTTAGCATTTTGGATAGCTACAGAGGTACAAAACGTTCAGTTTAAGGCCAGGGCTGGACAAAAATTGGTAATAAGTTTTATTCAGCCTTCTTTCCTTCTTCCATCCCTGTATCACCAGCCTTTGGTGCCTTTGATAACAAGAATTTCTTGGCATACATAAGAGAGAGTATCTGCATTTTCTGTTGAGCTATTTGTTTCTGATGTTTCTATAGGTCTTGTTGAGCCTTAGAATTAAATTGTGAGGATGGTTTATTTCAACGTTTAAAATATGGAATAAAACTTGTGATTTGCTTAGAAACAAAGACTATCCTGATCAGTTGTGGCTGACAAGTTTGTTCACATAACTTCTTGATATTGGTTGCCTTTCCAAAATTCTTTTTTCTAATTCCTTGTGGCGCTTTCAGAGTTCATAAAACATAAAATAATAGGGTCGGAAGGGACCTTGGAAGTCTTCTAGTCCAACCCCTGTTCCTTGCACAGGCAAGCTGCCAGGGAGCTGACCAACACTAGAGCTAATGAAAGTCTTTATTTCCAAAATTTCCACAAAATCAGAGCCACCTCCAGGGTTTGTCTGCATCCTAACCTTGCATCGTTCTACCCAGCTGTTGATCTTGGCGTAGGGCAGTCTCTCTTTTTGCTTTTCTTCCATTGCTGCAAAGATCAAAAAAATTCTTTCCCTGGAAGAATGAGATTGAATTTTTGCAACCTGAGTTAAGTGTTACTTGACTGGTTTGTTTTTGTTTTTTTCCCTTTTCATCTCTAGCTGTCTAACCTGCAGTGTTTCTCAGCCAGCTTATACTATGACGAAAGCAAACCTTGGGAACCGTGTGCATGCGCCTAGTTGCAAAAACTCATAGTGTTTTGGGCTGCTCTGAGCATAGAGCAAATTCTGATTTTGCTGTGGGAATTTAGGGAATTCAGTAAGTTGCAAGTATTACATTGAAAACCATTGAGCCAAACAGATTGTGCTTCGTAAAATGAGCATATGGCTTTATAACATAGAAATCTAATAAATAAAATAAATAAAATAAAATAACATGTCCCCACTGCACACCCAATTATTGTCGAGAGGCCTTCCCCCCTGGAGTTCTCATAATTTGCAAAATGTATAGGTAAAATCCACGTTGACTGGGAATTCTTGGAGTTGAAGTATGGGTTATGTCGAGGGCACTCAGTTGGCGATTGCTGTGGTAAGGAATCAAACTCTGTAATTCTATCTTGAGGAAATGAAGTATCTGTTGGTTCATTCTTGGCTCGCAGTTGTTAAGGCACGAATAAAAGAAATAACCGTTCTGTTTTGACTGAACCACAATCAGATCTCATGAAGTAGTCAAATTAATGTTCCTATGTTTAGCTGTTCCTGCCAAAGATGTGTTATTTCTGTAAAACCAAATGAAGAGAAAGAAAAATGCGAGATTGCAGATTCTTTAGCGATGAAAAAATCCAGCTCTGGACTATTTTAATGTGATCTGGTAACTAGGATACAGTACTGTTTTTTTTCTTTATGGCCACTTGAGAGGCTAAACTAGATATAGGCTTGACTTACAACAATATGTTTAGTGACCATTCAAAATTACAATGGCACTAAAAAAAAAAAAAAGACCTACAACCGTTTTTCACACTTACGACCATTGCAGCATCCCTGTTGTCCTGTGATCAAAATTCAGAAGCTTGGCAACTGATTCATATTTATGACGGTCACAGTGTCCGGCGGTCATACCATCCCCTTTTGCGACCTTCCAACAAGCAAAGTCAATGGGGAAGCCAGATTCACTTAACAACCGTGTCACTAATTTAACCACTACAGTGATTCACTTAGCAAATGTGGCAAGAAAAGTCGTAAAATGGAGCAAAACTCACTTAACAAGATTTCTCAATTCCGGGCTCAATTGTGGTTGTAAGTCGAAGGCTAGCTGTATAGTGGCAGCAGATCTTTCCATTTAAAGTTTGAACCTGATCGTGTGTAATTGAAAATATTGGGATAATCAATTCCCAATTCATGATTTAGCTTTCGGTAGTCTTATCAGTTGTCGGAGAATCATAGAATTGAAAATGGCCTTGGATTTCATCCAGCCCAACCCCCTGAAAGGAATACTGTGACGGCAGCACCACTAAGGAGTAGCTAATGATCCTCTACTAAATTCCTCCAGCGAAGGTGAATGGATCATCTCCTCACTGCTATTCTGTCAGCCCTTAATCTTCTCTTCTCCAGGCTAAATATAGCCAGCTCTTCCAACTGTTTTTCCTAACGTTTCAATTCTACCTCTTTTGCTATCCTACCCATCCATCTGCGAGTGGGTCTCGCTCATTCTGCCTTTTTCTTACAACGTTTCATCCAGAGCTGGACACCGTTCTCCCCATGTATAGTCTAACTCTGCATTACAGAATGGAACTACTCTGTTAAAGCAGCTTAAGATGAGTTTAACTTATTTTGCACTGCTGGCAGTGTTGTTCAGTTTGCGACTAGCTAGACACCTCTATCCTTCTCTCATATGCACCACTGCCAAGCCAAACATCATCTCTCGGGCTTTTTTTTTTTTTGCTATCCAAATGCAGAACTTTTAATTTCTGTTACATTTCAGCGTGTTGGATGCGGCCCACAGTCTTAAGCCTCTCCGGTTCATTTTGTCCTCCCAACCCTGATAGCAAGAAGTAAACTCAGTTGAAAGAAGAAGCAAAAAAAAAAAAAGGTGGAATTGAAGGAAACGTAATGTGAAGCAGGAAGGAGACGCCGTTCCTTTCAGCTACACATTCTTTTGTCTAAAACTCCCCTTCAAACACATGGCATAGTTTTCATTGTTCAGCCAGTCTTCTTCTTTCTTCATGTAACTACAGATGTCAAGGAATGAATGTTTTCGTTAAATTAAAAATGGAGAAAGTACTTGGGATGATTCGGATGAGGCTTACGACCCTATTGTCACACTCCTCTAATCGGGAGAAAGTGGCTCCTTTTGGCCCTTCGTATTGACTTCGCTATATAAATGAACCTTCACGTTCAGGGTTCACTTTTAAAGGCCAGATACTGGCAGCTGGTGGGTGTATTTGACAGAGCAGGACTAGAATGGATTTTCTGATTAAACAAACCTTTGGTCTTCGCTTTCAGAGTCTTCTCTGTGTTTCTGTTGATGTGCTTGCTCATGCGTGCACAAGTAACAGCCCTCTGAACTCCCTATCATGAGTGGATGCTGGAAGTCAAAGTTGTTTGTCATTGTCCTGCTGGAGAAGGGCGGAATACAAATTAAAAACAAATAAACTAAATTCTAGCAAGACACTGTTTAAAAGTACATCGCAAAAATAAGGGTATTGTAGTCAAAACACATGTTGCCAAGTGAAACATTCAGTGAGTTTGCCACAGTTGTCACAGACTTCTCTTGCCACAGTTGTTCAGTGAATCATTGCATTTCTTAAGTTAATAACATGGTTGTTAAGTGAATCTGGATTTCCTATCGATTTTGCTCGTCAGTAAGTTGCAAAAAAACTGATCACATGACTACGGAGATGCTGCAACAGTCCTAAGTGTGAAAAACTGTCATAAATCACTTTTTTGAGTGCTGTTGTAACTTGGAACGGTCACTAAATGAACCGTTGTAAGTCGAGGACTACCTGTCATATTGAGCGCCTGCAGCAGCAAACAGTGCGTGTTTTAAGGCTATTGATAATGTTCATTGCCCATAAGGAAAGGTACTTTTATAGAGAGTCAGTTCAGAAGTTGAAGTTTGAGGTGTGCGACATGGTTACTTCTGCAACATTACTCACAGTAGGATTATAAATAAAAGAAATTGTGCCCTGAGAATTGTTCCACATGAATGCTTTTCAATCAGTCCCATAATTTCAGCATTTCGCAATATTTTTGTTTAAAGGCATTCGGTTGAATTTTCAGGCTGCCTCTTCTGCTCCTGTCTGCAATGTTACCACTGGTTTCTTTTAGCGATCAAAAACATGTTTGTTAAGAGTAGCACCTCTGATAATACTAAGTGTCGAGTCCTTTTGCTGGAAGAATAACTTTGTAAAAACTTTAGTAAGAAACCACAAAGCTGGCTGGAAAACGCTTGAACCTCAAGAAGGCTTTAATTTGATCACACAAGCCAAACCTTGTCTGAATTCTCAAAATCCTAGAAACGGCCAATTAAAAAAAAAAAAAGAGTTCCTAGTACAACGAACAAACTTTCCATAGTTTCTCCATATAAATGAATTAGAAGGTAAAAGCCCAGGTTTGGGAAAATATGTGCTGTGCAATTCATGAAAATAATCAAAACGTAACGCTGCTATTTATTAATCCAGTTGTATGCCTCTCTGAGCTTTTTATAAATTGTGCCCTGGGGTGTGTAAGAGAAATCTTTTCCCAGCTTGAGCTGTTTATGCTGAAATATGAGTGGAATCTGCTAACCTTTCTCTTTTTCTCGCAGTGCTTTGTGCCAAGAATCTTGCAAAGAAAGATTTCTTCAGTAAGTAACTGAAAATATACTTTTTCATACCTCCCCACCGCATCCTTTGCGCATATTGAAGCTAGCCTACTGATGTTAGTATGTCTACTGATCTTGTATGTTTCTGCTGAGGGTATTTAAGGAAAGTTTTTCGAGAGTCGGAAGCATAATTGTCTGAAACTTCTATTCACCAGACCACGAAGCAGCGAGCGTGATCTTTTTGCTGTGAGCTGCTTAAAGGCAGATCTCAACTCTGGCAGCTGCCAGGAAATACATTTCTGCTCATGCTCACTCTCTTCTTCCTTCTAAATTGGGTGAGGCGCTGTAAGCCATGGTAAATATCTCCTCTCGTGAGATGACAGGATCAAGTCACAGTGAATTAACCGGGGAATCACTGTTGCATTAAGAGACGTGCAGGTTCTTTTCCCAGACACGCCGGAGATCATATATTAGAAACCCCAAAAAGACTTAGTTGCATTTTTCAGAATTTCAGGGGACTTTTAAAAATAGCACACCGTGGAATTAGTTAGTGATCGAGCTTCACGGGAAATTTGTGTTCCCCTCCAGGGGCATGCAGCTTTTAAATCAAGGGACACCCAAGGCATGTACAGCATAGCAAACGTTGACTGGCTCCAACGTTGCCCTAGGCCTGGGGTCTTTGGGGAGGTGGGGGTTAAAAATTGAAACAGAGACCTTAAGCCAGGAGGCCACTAAAAGAGGTCTGAGTAGCTGTATTTCGCTCATGGTCTGTGTTTTTTAACTCCATGCTCTACCCCTTCTGTAGTAAAAGAAACTTTACCAAAGAGAAAATGCTCTGTATCCCCAGCAACTGCTTAACATTTCTTCTCACAATTACAAAGAGAGCAGTTGTTAAACATTGTGGTTCAGTAGTCCTCTGCTAGCTTCATTGGTCTTTGTGGTGACCGGGTTGCCTTCATCCTTGGCAGGGCTTCCTGACCCCTTCGCAAAGATTGTGGTGGATGGATCTGGTCAGTGTCATTCCACCGACACTGTGAAGAACACCTTAGATCCCAAGTGGAACCAGCATTATGATTTGTAAGTTGGCTGTTCAGCAAGCAGTTTTATTTATTTTTCTTACATACGTTTTTTACTGATTAAATTTCTATGCCGCCCACCTCACTGAGGTGGGTTCCAAGACAATCGTTGTTTTTGACCTCTTTATTTGCATGAAGTATTCACAACCTTGATCCATACCTAGGAACCAGGGCCTAAGGTAACTTAACAGCAAGAGAGAAATCACACAGTGAATGCAAGTACCATGTTTCCTTGAAAATAAGACCCTGTTTTATATTTTTTTGAACCCCGAAATAAGCGCTTGGCCTTATTTTGGGGGAGGTCTTATTATTTTGGGGCGCGTGGAGCAAGAGGGGGCTCCTCTTGCCCTCTTACCTGATTTCCAGCTCTGTCTCCCTAACCCTAACTAGAGGAAATGGCGGGGACTGGCTACACATGCATTTAAATATTTTTTTGGGGGGGCTTATTTTAGCGCAAGTGCTCAAAAGCCCGACTGGGCTTATTATCAAGGGAGGTCTTATTTTCGGGGAAACACGGTAGGTTACCAAATAGACTTAAGAAAGCAGTTCCCAAATAATCCCTAAAATAACCATTCCTTCTATATCTCCTCTCTTACACAACTGGTCATCTAAAATGCTTTACACCAGCAGTGCTGATCCAAAGTAATATTGAGGCAATGCCCACTCCCTCGGGGATGATTATTAGTATGTTTTGTTAGAGAATGTTGTTGTGTAATAATTTGCAAGACTTAATTTTGGGGCTTGGGAGTTGAGATATCGGCTAGACTCCCAGGCAATTATTTTAGGTGTGCCCAAGTGACTATGTCTTCATGTACTTTTGAAAGCCCCTCAGTTGAAAAAACATTGTGTTTTATCTGACTTGTGAATTCCAGAAATGGAAGCCTGTATTACTTTTTCTAGAAATCCTTACATAATTCCTCGGCTGTTAGAAACCGAAGGTGCCTCTTGTCCTATGTACTCCTAGTGCAAAAACGAGCCTTGATGCACTAACTCCAGTTTTAAGAAAAAGCAGCTTTTCCAAGGTCTAATGAGCTCTGCACTTTTGTAGTTTATAATAAGGTTGTCTGCAATTAACAAATGTTTGTGTGTTATCTATTTAACATGCTGTGCAAATTACAGTAATCTAGTGATTAGTTGCATGTTTCTCTTCTTTGATAAAGACGAAGTGTTAACCAAAGCATTATTCAAATGGATTCACAAATGGGGAAGTTGTACCATAGCAGACAATGAACCTCCATTAAATATCCTCCTCCGACTGATTATTCTAGATACGTTGGAAAATCAGATTCTATCACCATCAGTGTCTGGAACCATAAGAAAATTCACAAAAAACAGGGAGCTGGCTTCCTGGGATGCGTCCGACTTCTTTCCAATGCCATCAGCAGGCTAAAAGATACAGGATGTAAGCATGTCTTTATTGCCAAATGTTTTCTGGGTTGGCTTGGGCAATATTTTGTGTCTCTGTTCTGAACACTGATTCCCAATTGTATATATTCTTGGCTGAATGTTTGCCTCCCCCCCTTATTCATTTCAGACCAGCGTTTGGATCTATGCAAACTAAATCCCACAGACACTGATGCAATCCGAGGCCAGATAGTTGGTAAGAAGGAATATCTGAACAGATAATTAAAGTATAGCTGTGGTGTTCAACTCCGGATATAACAAGCAGAATACCTTTATTTGAAGTATACCTCTTAGTGTGACTGGGGTGGTAAAAAATGTCTTCCTTTTTAGACTGCCCCCTAGTGTGACAACTTTGCTCTCCTTGCTCTTTGGAGGGAAAAGAATTTTGCAATTGCATGTTAATATGGGAAGGCTTTGTGTTTTAGCCAAAGTATTTTATGGATTGCATTATTGGGCAGTGGCTGCTTTGTTAATTGTTTTTGATTGGTAGTGGCCTTAATTCCTGAAATTTTAAGGAGGCACTAGGAATAGAAGGCTTACTATATTCTTCTTTTTTCCTTTTTGTCGTTAAAGATTGATTGAATTATTAGAATTTGAAAATGCACTGCCTCTTAAATTATCTCAGCAAAGTACTCAGATCTGCCTTCATAGGAAGGAACTCTGCATGTGGCTCCTGGCCAAAGACTTGAGAGTCTATAAAAAAAAAAGGGTACAAATGCTTGCCATGTCAAATTAAACCACTTCCCAGAAATGTTTTTGTATTTTCGTTGCTGTCTTCTATTTGCAAAGTGAAACTTTCGAATGTTTGCTTCTCTTTTTCTCATTCCAGTCAGCTTGCAGACACGAGATAGGATAGGCACAGGAGGGTCTGTGGTAGACTGCAGGGGGCTCTTGGAGAATGAAGGGTAGGTATGCTTTTCTTCCGATCAATTTGTGGGGTCCTTGGTGCTCTCTGAGCTTGGAGTCTTCTCGCAGCCCTTTTATTTCTTGCCTCACTTTATCTGGTCGAAATTGAATAGAATTAAGTGTTCTGCCCTGAATCGCTAGGGGTGGAAAGATTCCCCTTGTTGTGATTGTGGTGCAGACATGCAAACGATTAAACATATTGTGCAAGATTGTCCCACGAGGTGCGTTCTCTGGTCCCCTAGAAGATCTGCATGAAGCAACACCGAGGGTGATGGCCTGGATAGCTGAATTGGACATCGAGTTATGAGGCCACTGCTGTACCCCCGTAGACATTTTACTTATAACTGTGTAGACCGTGTGTATATGTTTATGTTCACTTCTGTCATGTTCTCATCGTACGCTAATATTGTAATAAATAAAAGCTCCAAATTAGGTAACATCATCCGTGATCGTGCACTGATGATGTTCCTGAGTTGGGTCATGAAACGTCTGAAAGAAAACCACCAGTCTCAGACAGCACCAAGGACCACACAGTTCCACCCTGAGCTCCAAACATTCTCTTCTATCAGTTTAAGAATAAAAGCTAAATTTAGCGATTGGGTCAAAAACAACAACAACACAATTGCAGCAAAGAACGAGGGCCGAAAAGTCAGATCGCTTTCCCTCGGCATTTTATCATCATTAAGTGAGTCACTGGAGGAAGTGTGGTCATTGAAGAGATAAATGCAAATTTAGTCTTTGGCACACAGGTCCTCTCCCCCAAATTTTGCCATTGTGAACAGGGTGGATTTGATTTAAATCAAGTCGGTTTAAATCACAATTTAAATCGTGATTTAAATCACTAGTAAAAAGGCTTGATTTAAATCAACTCAATTTAAATCATAATTTTTAAAGAGCAGCTGTCACCTCTGTCCTGCAGCAGCTCCTCCTCTGACCTGCTGTTGACTCACCGACAGGCCCAATATTGCCGAATATACAGCCACATGCTACATAATGAAGCTCCATTTCATGCTGAATAAACTAAATTATTAATGTATCTTAAATAGAAACTACCTTTAGATAGACTTTTCCTCCAAAAACATTTTATTAAAATAAATTTGATAAAAAAAAAATCTGATTTAAATAAAAAAAATCATCGATTTTTATGCACCCTGGTTGTGAATCAGCTGTGTTTTGTGTTTCAAGATAATTTTCTTGGTTCTTGGCTTCCAGGGAGGGAGGTCTACTTGGAAAGGCTGGGCCCCGTCCCCTAAAGCCGGTTATTCCAACACTTCCTTAGTGATGTGTGAAAATCTGTCCACTGAATGAGCTTCCCTACTTTCAGAACGGTTTATGAAGACTCGGGACCTGGGAGGCCCCTGAGCTGTTACATGGAAGAGCCAGCCCCATATACAGACAGCACAGGAGCTGCCGGTGGAGGGAACTGCAGGTTCGCAGAAACCCCTGGCCAGGATCAGACCCTGCAGGTCCAGCGATTGCGGGGTCCTGATGTAAGAAGCCATGTCCAGACACCCCAAAATAGACCCCACGGTCATCAGTCGCCATCACCGGATCTGCCTGAAGGCTATGGTGAGTTTGGGTAGACGTCCAGAGTCATTTTGCATAGCGAGTCAGATGGTATATGAGGGAGGGGTGGAGGAAAGAAAAAGAAAGGAAGGAAGGAAGGAAAGAAGAAAGGAAGGAAGGCAGAAGGAAGGAAGAAAGAAAGAAAAGACGGGAGGGAGGGAGGAAAGGATGGAAGGAAGAAAGGAAGATGGGTGGATGAAATGAAGGAAGGGAGGGAGGAAGAAGGTGGAAGGAAGGAATGAAGGAAGGGAAAGAAGAAAGAAAGAAAGAAAAAGGAAGGAAGGAAGGAAGGAAGGAAGGAAGGAAGGAAGGAAGGAAGGTAGGAAGGTGTTGGGGGAAGAGACTTCTATATTCTGTTTTGCACCCAGAAGTGGCATTGCCTCGTTTTGTGGACTTTTCTTTATGGGATTTTTCACTTGGCATCGTAGTTTTACTCCCGGTATGTTTATGTTTATTGATGTGTGATTGGCTTTTGTCTAAGAGGCAGAGTAAGTGGGAGGGTTTTCCCCCCCCTGGAGCTGGCCAGATGGTAATTTTAACACTGTCAGTGTTTTATTTCTCAAATGAATGTATCAGGATCTTGTAGCTGGACTGCTGTTCACATGGTCTGTTGGCAAGGCAATAGTAAAACCAGATTCTCGTGGTAGTTGGGAGGGAACCATGCAAATCTTTTGCAACTCGTAAAACAGCTGCCCAATAAAATGCGAACGACAAACAAACAAGACCGTACATTGCTCCAGTAGAGCAATAGGGTTTCTGAATGAGCAGTCAGCAAAAATTAATTTAAAAAGCGACGAAAGTGCAATACACTCCTTGGTGTTACCTTTCTCCTCTCATAACAATGACAAACTCTCCTACAAAGGTAAGAGAAGCAAATAAACTACCGTTTTCAGCTTTAGCTCAGTTTACTAGGGCTGGCTTTAGTCACAAAGGTCTGTGAGGGATTTGGGCATTTTCTCTGTTAGCCACCTTTTCTCTCTCTCTCTCTCCTGTCTCTTTAGAGCAAAGGACAACAGTACAGGGACAAGTTTACTTTTTGCATACACAAACCGGGGTTAGCACCTGGCACGATCCCAGGATACCAAGGTAGGTACGGTCGCTGCTTTTGAGTTCATTTAGATCAGGGGTGTCAAACTCGATTTCATTGAGGGCCGCATCAGGGTTGTGTTTGATCTCGGGGTGGGGGGGGCAGGTGGGCATGGCTGGCTCGATGTCACTCATGTTGTAGGCACCTGTGGTGGGCCGAGCACTCTGCCAGCAAAAACTGAGCTCTGTTTTCGCTGGCGGAGAGTTGCAGGAGGCCGTTGCAGCTGAAAACGGAGCTCAGGAGGGCCACACATTTTTGCCTGACAGAGGCATCGCAGGCCGGTCCTTCGCTGTTTCCAGGGAGGTCCCGCAGGCCAGATCTAAGCATCCCTCAGGCCGGAGCCTGCCCCAGGCTTTGAGTTTGACACCCCTGATTTAGATGTTTGCAGGAAATTAAACCATAGGATCCTTAGATTTGGAGATTGAAATGGCCTCTCTTTTCTGTAGGCATGTTCAAATAATTTAAAATAATGCTGGCATTGAGTTAAATCTAGTTTCTCCTCCATTTTTTTCTTTTTCTTTTTGCAGAGACCTTAACAGTGTGAATTGTGATGAACTTGGACCTCTGCCTCCAGGCTGGGAGGTTAGAAGTACAGTATCAGGAAGAATATATTTTGTAGATCATAATAACAGAACCACCCAGTTCACAGACCCAAGACTGCATCACATAATGAAGTAGGTCACCTTTCAGTTGCTGCTTGGTTTTTGGGGCTGAGAATCAGGGCCAGATTAGTCCTGTCAAAGACCCCATAAATATAATACGGAGGTAGTGAATCAGTAGGCTGCATACGGAAATATTTTAATATCTTTTTGGGAGCCCTTAAAATAGATGCCATTGAGGAAATGTTGAACCAGGAATAATTTGGAAGGTTAAAATATGTTGAAAGCTTTCTTACGACAAGTTGTTCCCATTTCGAATGCTTATTCCAGAAGAAATTAATTACCTTTTAAAAGGTACGACAGAGGGACACGAGGCCCGCTCTAACAGGTGGTACAGCTTCCCCCTATGAAATCCGTCATTGTCATCCCAAGATTATTAGACGTTTGGATCATCCCTGTGGTTGTGTAATTCTTTAAGGCTGGGTGTGTGTGTGAATCCTCTCGAGAGTACATGTTTATGTAGTGTATATTGGAGGTGGTGACCCCTTTGAGAGCTTCATGCAATGAAATTTCATTTTAATATATGCCGATTAGTGTACTTTCAAAGTGACAATAAAGTTATTACTCTATTCTAGTTGTACCAGATCAGATAGGGTAGGCACCTTTCAGGTCCCTTCCCTGAAATGTTTGCCCACTAAGGTGACCTCAAAAACATGCATTTTATGTGGCTGCCTCCACCATAGAAAACACTCTTGCCCCCAGTAATCGGGCAGCCCCCCCCCCCTTTCCCTCATTTTAGCTTTTCAGAAGACAATCAAAACTATCCTTTTTATCCAGGCTCTGGGTACAGTGTGAATGTCTGGAGTCGATCATGAGGCATCCCAGAAGGATGATTTGAGGCCCTGGGTTTGGCTTGCGTTCCACGGTTTTCAGAGGCCAAGCTTTTTATTGTTGCGAGCTACTCCCTTGTGTTTTTAGAGGGACGGCCATGCGCGTTCTTTAAATAAATAAACAGACCCCACTCGCCTTGCCTCGCTCTTCTTTTTTCTGCTGCTGCTGCTGCTGCTTTTGGAAGTCATGCCTTCTCTCCCTTTCCTTCCCCACCTAAGTCACCAATGCCAACTAAAAGAATCCAACCAGCCTTTGCAAGCACCAAATGAGGGCTCGTTGGAAGACAGCGAGGAGCTGCCCGCTCAGCGATACGAACGGGACTTGGTGCAGAAGCTCAAGTTCCTCCGGCACGAACTCTCCCTCCAGCAGCCTCAAGCTGGCCACTGCCGCATCGAAGTATCGAGGGAAGAAATATTCGAGGTATGTAAACAGGAACCTGGGTGAAGAGGATCTGGCTTTCATCTGCCTGCCGTAAAACGCAAATCGGTCCTGCCAAGCCTCGATGTGATTTGGGTACCAGCTAAGGAGCTGGTGAATCTGAGACAGGTAGTCCTCGACTTACAACCATTCGTTTAGTGACTGTTTGATATTGCAACGGCACTGGAAGAAAAAATGGACTTACGACTGGCCTCTGCAGATACAATTGTTGCGGCATCCCCACCATCTTACGATCCAAATTTGAACACTTGGCAACCAGTGCGTATTGACAATGGTTGACATGTTCCGGGGTCATGTGACAGTCATTTGCGGCTTTCCCAACTGACATTCGATAAGCAAAATCATTGGGGGGAGGAGCTGGGTTTGCTTAACGACCACATGGTCCACTTAACATCCTCAATGATTCACTTAACAGCTGTGTCAAAAGACGGTGATAAAATTGGCTTGCCACAAGCTTAACAACTGCTTTGCTTAGCAACAGAAATTTGGATCCCAGCTGTGGTCGTAAGTCGAAGCCTACCCTGTACTTTTATTTATGATCTGCCTTTCCAGTAGACCAAGGCAGTAACTGCAGTGCACCTCTTAATAGCTAAGAACATCCGTTCGGCTCATAAAACTGCACTTTTACATCGTGCCACTTTTCCAAGAGGCTTGAGCAACATCAAGAACAAAACCACGTTTAGATAAGAAAACAGCTGAAAGATTCCCATTTTTCTCTAATATTGGGTAGGAAAGAGATGCGAGAGATTCAGCTGCTTTTGGTAAAACAATGGTGTTTTTTTTTTTTAAGTGCTTTTCTTTCTGTGCATAGGAATCTTACCGTCAGATAATGAAGATGAGGCCAAAAGATCTGAAGAAGAGGCTGATGGTGAAATTTCGGGGAGAAGAAGGCTTAGATTATGGTGGAGTGGCAAGGTAAGGGCCAGAATCCTAAAAGAGCTTTTAGGGTTATATTTTTTTGGGCGGGGAAGGATGTCTCTCTCTCTCTTTTTCTATACTATTGGCTTGCCCTGTCAGTGTTGATGGAAGTGTTCCTGCTGATTCCTTGTAGTTGTTCTTGGTGGCCCCTTATATAGATGCTTCCTATATAAACAGAAGCAAACCCCACTGCCTTCTAGCACTGATAATGTAGCCTAGTTGGGCAATGAAACGTCTGCAAAAAAACAACCAAGCTCAAGAGAGCACCGAGGACCCCACAATAAGAACCGTACTTAGAGAAACCAAAGCTGCCTCTACGTTTGAATCTGTTCAGTGGGGTAGACATAAATAACATTTCTTCCTTTACCTTTCTTAACCCTGCTTTCTATCCTGCAAATTTTTAAATGTGAAATGTGCTGCCACAGACCCCCTTTGCCTCTAATATACTTAGGCAAGCCAAACTTTCTAACTTGTTTTGGAAAAGGTTCTCCTGATCCACGTAACCTGGGTGGTTCTCACCCGAGATTACTGCTCTATTTCATCCTGGCATCCTCTTGTAATGCTGATCGCTCCCCTTGTATTTTGAGCACTCATTTCCCCAGGCAGCTGAACCCATCAGCATCTAAATTGCTGCTTAAAAAAAAAAAATCCTTTTTTGGTTGTTTTGTCTATTGATACTGTTCTCTCATTTTGTTCTCTCGTCTGGGACTTCTCTGCCTTTGACCTCTCCCTTGTCATCACCTCCGTCTTGCGGAGAGTTTCAGCATCTCTTTATCTCGTCTGCGCTTTAATGCTGTCTAGACGGATGCTGAATCCTCTAACATGCCTTAACCAGATGTCTCCCTTTGGTTTGGGGGCGGGGTAGGCAGAAGATCCCCATTATGCAATTAAATACCTGTTATCTCAGGTGTTCAGCTCATCGGGTACCGTCTTCCCACAAAAAGAAATCTTCACAGTTCTTTAAAAAAACAAAACCCAAACTTCCTATTGCCTGTTCTTATTCTGTTTCCTGTTGAATGCCTTTCTTTAACAGAGCGAGGAAGAGCCAGAAAAGCTGTTGTGATTGGACTCTGCTCCACAATGTTTTTTTCTTAAATGTTGGCAATCTCTGCTTGCTGGAGTCAGCCTTTTTTCCAAAGCGTCTTATGCTGTCTCATAAACCAGCATTTCTCAACCTCAGCAAATTTTTAAGATCCGTGGACCTCAACTCCTAAAAATTCCTCCGGTCCACCCATCTTAAAGATGCTGAGCTTAAGGCTGTCATAGACCACCTTGGGAACTAATCCAATTTCTGAAGTGGGATAAACTTTTACTTTCATTTCTCACCCCACCCTCCCCCTCCATCACCATTTCTAATCTTGTTGAAAATTACATCCGGCAGGGAATGGCTGTACCTTCTATGTCACGAAATGCTGAATCCATATTACGGGCTTTTCCAATATTCAACTGATAACATTTACACGCTGCAAATAAATCCCGATTCCTCCATCAACCCCGTAAGTACTCTTAAAAGCCAAAGATCTATTTGTGTTCTTTGAAGATAAACGTTAGAAGGAGCAACCATCTCTGAAACCAGGGGAAATATATAAGATAAAGATATGTTAAGATTTCCACAGGATGTTATTTATTTTATATATTTTGTCAAATTGACGTGGCTGCCCATCTCACGAAAAGTGATTCTGAGTGGCGTACAACACTTAATTAAAACTGTAAAAACTAAAACTTTCGTTGTCATGACCTTTACCTGGACAAGATGGTGCATCACAGGAAAACAATTTTTGAACCCAGGTTAGCCCTCAAGTGGGCTAACTTACAGAATGCGCCCAAAATCCAGGATCCATGACTCCCGAGGGAATAAAAATTGTGGAAATTGTGGTTGATTCAGTGCTACTAGTTTCTGCTGGGTGGCTGCTCGGTCACATGAGCTTCATTTTCCACATTCCGTAACAGTTTCCCAGCCAGTCTAGCAATCCCTCGCTCCTTCCCCCACCCTGCAGCAGCCACTTGAGTTCTTCTAAGTAGCCCTCAGAATACACAATCCAGTACTGGGAGGCCAAAGTGAAATCTTTTTCCTCCCTTATTTGATTTTCCGTACACTCTGCGAACCGATTAATGTCTATTTTTCAGTCGAGCCCTCACAGACCGTGGAAGGTAAGCGTACACGAAATAGGGCTCAAAGCTGAACTAACTTGCTTCTAACGGACTAATTGGTGTAGCCCGAACTTGTTTCCACGAAGGCAGGAGTGGGCAACGTTGGGGAGGGTCGTGATGACCCTCGCTCTTTGCAATCAGCTGGGACAAAAAGTGGGTGGGGCCAAAATGAGGTTGTGGCTCAGAGCTGAATGTTGCCTGGCTATTCCTGCCCTGTCCTCCCTCCTTCCCTAGGTAAGGTTTGGCCTTGTGGTTGTTATTGCTGCTCCCTCCGTTTCTTTTTCCTTTTCGCCTTCTTCCTCTGACATTTGCCAGTATCCTCCCTATGATTAGTGCCAGCCCCAGAGGTGTGAGGCGTGAAGGGAATTGCCAGCTAACGGATTGGTTTCCTTTGAAATTTGAAAGGAATGGTCTGGGCAGCCACTCGTCATTCCCAACTCCTTTCCACTTTTGGGCTGTTGTGGAGGCCTCCACCGCAGAGCTGAGCCAAGTCAGGGAGCCACGCATAGCAACTTCTCTGCCGGCCTGCGCATGTTGGAAAGGATGGGGAGTAGAATCAGAAAGTGAGCATTTGAGAAGGCCTAGCTCCATGATGGCGAACCAATGGCACACGTGCCGGAAATGGCACGCAGAGCCATCTCTCTGGGCACGCCAGCCGTTGCCCGTTGCTCTTCCGGGTTCCGGCACGCACATGCCAGCCAGCCAGCTTGTCTTTGCACACATGGGAGCGCATGTGCGCTGGCCAGCTGGTCTTCGCATACGTATACATGCCAGAAACCAAAAAAACAGGTGATTGGCGCGCATGTATATGCTGGAAATCGGAAACCTAGCTTCCCGGCGCGTGCATGCACGCTGGGGAACTGCCCTTTCGGTTTCTAGCACTCCTGCGTGTGCGCACTGGGGAAGCTGCTCTTCCGGTTTCCGGCGCTCCCCCGCGCATGCGTGCACGCTCCCGTTTCAGCACCCAGTGCCAAAAAGGTTCGCCAGCACTGGCCTAGCTTTTCTCTACCAGTGGTGAAGAATGGAAGATCTGGGAAGGGCAAGCTGGTGAGAAGAAGAGGAGGAAGTGGGGGGGGGGGGGGGAAACCCTGGGTTTTAATCAAATCACCCAAACTCCGTTTATGTCGAGGGAAAGGGGTGTGTGGAGGGGAGGGGGAAACTTGCCTAAAGGAGGAAAAAGAGACATTTTCTTCATGGGAGGGGAGGGACTTCCTTTTGCTGCCACAATAGTTCAGCATGAAACTATGACTCAGCCCTGACTTACAGCTTGTGGTTAAAAGCATCACAGGAAGCACCCAAAAGTGTCTGAGGATGTTGCAGCAACCCAAAAGAATTTGTTGTAATGACTGTCTCGGCTGCTCTAGGCTATCTGTTTTAAAGGGAAAGTAATCCCTCTCCTTCCCCACCCCCCCTGACCATCCTCTCCCCTCCCTCTCTCAAGTTTTCATAATGAACAGCAACCATAGAGAAGCTGCATGTAATGGTTGGAGGGGGAGAACCTGGTGATTGCTTATAGGTTGCCCACCCCTGTTTGAAAAATGTCCCACTAAATATTAATTGCCTATGTAGCTCCTTGGAATTCATCTCTCCAAACAAACATAGGCACATACTAACAGTTCCCTGTGTCTATAGATTAGGCTACTATCTTAACAGTGGGTTAGGATTGGATGGAGTCCAATCCTAAATTTAAGCCATTAAAAAAAACCCCAAACACCTTCAAGATAGGGGCGGCACCGGTAAAACACAGTGGTTTAGTCCCTTGAATTGGAGAGATCCCAGAACAAGGTCATCTATAGCAAAAGTTCTTCTTCGCACAAGCCGCTCTCCTAGAGTATCCTACCTTGCAGGGCTGTGGTTGCTTTCGGTTAGGACAGATAGAGGAAAAAGGACACCGCGCTAGGAGGAGACTATGGTGGGGGAACCGGACTTCCGGTTGGCTCCAGAATTGAACGGGGGGGCTTCCGGTTAGGACTTTTGTGGCTCTTTGAGTGTTTAAGGTTGCCGACTCCTGTCTTGGAGTTAGAGCAAGATCCAGGTAAACAGCTCGTGTATAGCTGAAGTCCTTGAAAAGGTAAGACGTTTAGGCTTTTGAGCGGAGTAAGCATTAACCCAAAGCAGTAAAGATGCCACTCTGTATTTTAATCACAAATGCATCCCCTTATTTGTCCGTTACGATTTCCCCAAAAGGACACCATCTCTGTGCAAGGAGGTTGCCATTCGAGAGAGGTGAAGAGCCTTGGTAGTACTAGGGTTTAAGGCACCCTGTTATTAAGCTGCTTAAGACCAGCTGCCTGCAATTACTGCAGGGTTCGAATCTCGCCAAGGCTCAAGGTTGACTCAGCCTTCCATCCTTTCTAAGGTAGGTGAAATGAGGACCCAGTTTGTGGGGGCAATAAGCTGACTTTGTATAAATATACAAAAGGATGAAGGCTATTGCTGAGCACATTGTAAGCCGCCCTGAGTCTTCGGAGAAGGGCGGCATATAAATCAAATTTAAAAAAAAAAAAAAAAAAAAAAAGTTCTGAACAGAAATGGGTTAGTGCAGTGTTCCCCAACCTTGATGACATTCTGGGCTTCAACTCCCAGAATTCCCCAGCCAGCAGAGCTTTGGGAATTGAAGTCCACCGATCCTAAAGTCACTATGGTTGAGAAACGCTGGGTTAAGAGAATACCTGGCACCGTTATCTTCTCCAGGAGTGCCTCCCTGTAACTGTTCAGTTTGCTTTGCTTGCGTTTGCCCTCCGGCAGTAACTACAATCTCTTTGAACTTGGCATTTAAGAGAAATCCCTCCGCTCCTGGCAAAACACCTGCAGCTGACAAGCCCCAGAGGCAGGAGGCTAAAAATACTCCGGGTGAATCTTCAGCGAGACAAAAAGGATTGTTCCAGCTTCTTATAAGCAGCTGATTAGTGAAATACGGTTTCAGCCGTTTAAAGATGTGCGGACTTCGACTCTCAGACTGGCTGGGGAATTCTGGGAGTCGAAGTCCATCTTAAATGTTGATGAGGTTGAGAAACTCAAGTCTACCTGCTTGAGTGTAAAAAAAACAACAACAAACCACCTAATTGTACTGATTGGAAAAGCATAAATACCAGATTCATGGGACGTACTGATGCTTCTCAGCTAGAGGATTTGAAATAATGAAACGACACCTCCCATCACACCAACTAAGGTCTGGCAAAAGGCAACTAAGATAGCCGTCGCTGGCATCTCTCGCGGTGAATGACCACCTTGGTGGTTGGCATATCTTTCAGGATCATCTGTCTTATTTCCACTTTGTCGGTCGGATCATGGGTCTGGCGGTGTTCCACGGGCATTACATCAACGGGGGTTTCACAGTCCCTTTCTACAAACAGCTGCTGGGCAAACCCATCCAGTTGTCTGACTTGGAATTGGTGGATCCAGAGCTACATAAGAGCTTAGTGTGGATTTTGTAAGTATCCCATCCAATAATCTATAATGTGTTGATTGACCCAGGAGGAGCAGCTCCAACGAAAAAGTTTTCCTGACCTCAGTCACTGGTGCCTACCTAGATTTTAAAGCTGCTTTCGGCAGGGCGGATACTTAAAAACTTCCAAAAGTACCCAGAAAACAACTGGGATAATTTTATAAACAATCAGCAGTGAAACATCTGGATAACTGTTCCATAGGAGAAAGTCATCCTTGTACTTCATTAGAAACCTGTCCTGCCGAATTCTGATTCTGGGTTGATTTGGCTTGCCTGTAATTAGTAAATTAATCTTCAGCCTCGCTCATAACTGAGGCATGAGAAAGTATTTTAAATTTCTGGAAGTCAACCAACAGTGCATCAAAGGAATATCTTTGGGGACAGAATTTGATCAGAAAATATCTCTTTTTTATTTTGCATTACCTATGTTTCAGTTGCATAGTAATATTCCTACGTGCAGGTATAAAACTAACTTTCTTTACATCAATAAAGTACCATAATCAAAAATAGCTGCAGAGGTTTTTTTTTTCCCCCTCTGCAAGGAGGAATATTAAAAATTGTATGATGCACAACTGCTTACTAAAGTGTAGATCGGCCACAGAGAGCTCTGCTCTTAAAATTACATGTTTCAATAGATCTGGCTAAATAAAGAAAAACCATCTTCACTTGCAGAAATGACTTGTAGGCATTGCCATTCTTGTTGACAGAGAGAATGACATCACTCCAGTTCTGGACCATACCTTCTGCGTGGAACACAATGCATTCGGCAGAATTCTGCAGCACGAACTCAAACCGAACGGGAGAAATGTTTCCGTTACGGAGGAGAACAAGAAAGAATATGTCAGGTACCCTCAGGGAAGGCTAATTTGGCATCTGTCAATGAGATGCTGGCAGTCCAACAAGGTAGATCACACACAGATACCACTACCAAGTGCAGGTAGTTCTCAACGTACGACCACAATTGAGCCCAAAATTTCTGTTGCTATGTGAGACATTTGTTAAGTGAGTTTTGCCCCATTTTACAAACTTTCTTGATGCAGTTGTTAAATGAATCACTGCAGTGGTTAAATTAGTGTAAGTAGGGGGTTGGACTAGAAGACCTCCAAGGTCCCTTCCCTATTCTATTCTATTCTATTCTATTCTATTCTATTCTATTCTATTCTATTCTATTCTATTCTATTCTATTCTATTCTACTCTACTCTACTCTACTCTATTCTATTCTATTCTATTCTATTCTATTCTATTTGTTTTATTTCTACTCTACTGTATCCTACTCTACTTGTCACATGGTTGTTGACTTTGCTTGTTAGAAGGCGGATCACATGACCCTGGAACACTGCAACCGTCATAAGTATGAGTCAGTTGTGAAGCGGCTGAATTTTGTTGACGTGATCATGGGGATGCTACACTGGTTGTAAATGTAAAAAACAGTCACAAATCCCCTTTTCAGTGCTGTTGTAACTTTGAACAGTCACTAAAGGAACTGTTGTAAGACGGGGACTACTCGTAGTCAGGACTACTTCTATTGTAACACTATGCTAATAGAGTTAGCCATGGCCGGTGTTTGCAAGGTAGATCAGAAAATCAGAGTTGTAGACTCAACAGAGCTTGGACAATCTCCCAGAATAGGCTGCTTGTGATGCTCACACAAGAATACCATCTGGACATGTCCATGAAGTCACCAAGGTTGGAACTTTCCTCAGAAGAGATTTGGTTTATTTCTTTAGACAGCCTGTGACTTCCATTGGAGGGCAGGTTTTATATCTTCCGTGCAAAATTCTTACCAGTCCTGTAGTAATTCTGCAGTAACGCTGAGATTTTAATCTTCCTGTTTTCCCAGGCTGTATGTAAACTGGCGGTTCATGAGAGGAATTGAAGCCCAATTCCTGGCCCTTCAGAAAGGTTTTAATGAACTTATTCCTCAACACCTCCTGAAGCCTTTTGACCATAAGGAACTTGAGGTATCGGTTGTATATTTCACACTAACTCTTTTGCTGCTGTTCACGTAGCCTCAAAAGCAGAAATAACTCTACATATATTTTCCTTGTTCTGAATTGATGTGTTAGAGTTCTGTCCAAGCATGGGGAGCAATGCCCAGAAAGCTTTATTTTGAAGGATATTTCTTAATGTCCTTCAAAACAAGCCCCCCCCCCCTTCTTGGGGGGGCCTTGACTTGGCAAACTTAAATTTGGGGCAGTTTCGATACTAAAACACATAGTGGAAAAGAAACAGCTTCTACCTTTTATGGGGGTTGAATTAGATGACCTACAAAGTCCCTTCCAACTCTGTTAATCTGTTAAATTTGTCTCCTGAAATGCTAGGGAGAATGCAGAATCAAAATCCTGGTAGAGAATTGGAAGATTCCAGGGCTTCCATCTTGAAAGCGCCAGAGCAACAGCTCTGCTTTTCTTCATAATGAATCAATTTCCTAACATTTTTTTCAGAGCATCTGATGTGTGACTTAAAAGAGTAAAATAGATGTCAGAGCTGTCATAGTAGCCCATAAAAGCAGTTTCTGGCTTGAGAATTCCGGGTGTTGGAAGTTCACACACCTGGACTGAAGAATTCTGGGAGCTGAAGTTCACAGATCTTTGTTGCCAAGGGAGAGCAGTAAGCAGACTGCTTGAAAATTGTGTGGGGACTCAGCTGACTATCTAAAGATCTTTTGCCCTATATGCAGCGGTTAACCAATCTAACCAGCAGCGCCCATAATAAATCTATTTTGTCATTCTTGTTTTAAAAAGCATGATGGAAATATGAAAATCCTGCTCAGAAACTGTCTGCAGCCATCAAGGGCGATAAATATAAATATACCATGCCACGTTGTCCCGGTGCTTAAAAAGGACTTTTTTTTTTGATTTCCCAGCTCATCATCGGTGGCCTAGATAAGATTGATCTGAACGACTGGAAATCCAACACGCGTCTGAAGCACTGCATGGCCGACAGCAATATCGTGAAGTGGTTCTGGCAAGCGGTGGAGGCCTTCGACGAGGAACGGAGAGCGCGGCTGCTCCAGTTTGTGACAGGCTCCACGCGGGTCCCCCTTCAGGGTTTCAAGGCTTTGCAAGGTGACTGATCGGGGGGGCTGAGTTAGCAGACTTGGGCCACAGGCAGCTGGGGAAGGGGAGACCTACTTTTTCATGCCAGTCAGTTGGCCCTCCCTCCCTCTCCTTTCTAACTATCCCACCCAACCCTCCATTGGAAAAATACGTGACTTCCCTTTGAACAATAAATCAAGCTGCCTTAACACTGAATTAAGCCAAGATTCAGATTACCCATTTGGGGGGCAGGAGGGCGAAAGGTCAGAGACGGACTTTGTACTGGAGGGGTGCTCTTTTTTTTTAAAAGAGAAAACAGAATTGCAACAAAGAGGCGGGGTAGATGAGGACAAAAACCTGAATTAACCTAGTTAACACAGCAACTCCTTATCCATTAACATCTCTCTGCCTTGGTGAAAACGAGAGTTTGGCAGCCAATCAAAGCTTTGAGGTTCCTGATGTTTCCGGGCCTCTGCCTGAACAACTCTGGTCTCCTCTGAGAAGCAGCTGCTTTCCAGAATCTCGGGCCAAAAGAGAGCGGCCTTGGGAAGGAGCTCTTCCTAGCACCCGGCATACTGTGCCAGGTGTGTCCACACCCCTAAAGCAGGAGTCCCGATTTCCTGTTCTTTGGTTGGCTGATACCGGAGGTTACCAGAGGTCAGGGCAGCGTGATAACATAGCCAGGGCCTATGTTATCACGCTGTGATAGGGCCTTAACTAGAATTTTGAAGGGCCTTAACTAGAATGTCTATTTGCAAGGTTCTACAGGCGCAGCAGGACCCAGGCTGTTCACTATCCACTTGATAGATGCAAACACAGACAACCTCCCGAAAGCTCATACTTGGTAAGTCCCTCGGCAATGGCTGCGAATCAGGGAGTAGACGGGGCTGTGAAAATGTGTTTGTTTCTGCCCAGATGAAGTTGTAAACTCTTCTGGGAAAAGAAAACGAGGCGTGGAGCGTATCCAGATTAACCTCCTTCAGCCTGACGTCTAAACCAATTTATTCTTCTGCATATAACCCTAACCTCTCAGCCCCAAAATTTCTGTGGTTCGGTGAAAGCAATTGTTAAGGGAGCTTTGCCCCCATTTTACGACCTTGCTTGCCGCCGTCGTTAAATCGCCGCAATTCATAAATTGGTAACCCGTTGTTAAGTGAATCTGGCTTCCCCCCCCATTGACGTCGCTTGTCAAAAGGCTGCCATTTATGAGTCGCATGACCTTGCGACTCATAAATCACTGAACCGATGGCCAAGCATCTGAATTTTGATCACACGGCCACAGGGATGCTGCAAAGCAGGGATGGGTTCTACTTACCTTTTACTGCCGGTTTGCAGCGAGGTGGCGTGTGCGCTCTTCCGCGCAAGCGCAGACGCTTTCTGATGATGTCATCAGGGTCAGTGGGCGGAGCCTCCTGCCTGTTTTACTACCGGTTCTATAGAACTGGTCCGAACTGGGGGCAACCCATCACTGCTGCAAAGGTTTGTACCTGGGAAAAATGACCCCGAGTCGCCTTTTTTCGATGCCGTTGTAACTTTGAGACGGTCACCGAACGAACTGTTGTATATAAGTTTAGTAAATAAATAAATAAAGGCACCCCGTGTTTCCTAACCTCCTGCAGCTTTAACCGAATTGACATTCCGCCTTACGAGTCCTACGAGAAGCTTTACGAAAAGCTAGTGACCGCCGTGGAAGAGACCTGCGGCTTTGCGGTGGAGTGACCAGGCAACCAAAGGAAACCGATATTGCTAAAGCTCACGGACCACCAAATCAAAAAAAGCTGTAAGGAGAAGCTTGCTGTGAACTTCTTTTTTTGTCCAAAGTGTTGGGATTTGCTTGACAACTTAAGGGTGCAAAGGCTGTTTTTTTCCCCCTTACCTTCGATGGCGTCGGTGAAGAGGGAGGCTTTTTATTTTTGGAGGTCCCCAAACATACTTTCTCCCTCTTGCGACGATAACCCTCCCTTTCCTTTCTTCATTTCCCAGGAAACAACAACAACAAAATAAAACACACACACACACACACACAACCCAGGCAGCCAGTTTCAGCGTTCGGTTTCGGTTACCCGCGATAATGATTCTGCTAGATTTGTAACACATATTGTGATAAGGTCTACGACCTGTGGTCTTTTTTTTATAGGAGATTCAAACTGTAGTTGAGTATCTTTGCCATCGGTTTGCCGAGGAGGTTTGGTCGGTAGGTGTCTGTGGATGTTTTGTCTTCGACGCAACCCCTGAGCCCTTGTAGAAATCCAGACGCTCTGGAGATAAATGAATAAAAGGAAAGGAAAAAAGATTGGCACTGGAATTCCCATTAGGACATTTCAAGGAAACCCCGTTTAAGGAACGCTGAGCAGAGCGGGCAGCTCCCGTAAGCATAGGAATACTGAGGATTATTATTCCTTGTCAGGAAGCTTCTTTTTCCCCCCCTTTTTTTCTGTGAATGAGATGACTTGGCTCTTAAGAGGAACAATTCAGGAGAATCAAGCCATCTTGAACGATGCGAGAGTTTCTTTTCTCCTTTTGCAGGGACTTTTTGCATAGGAGATAGATCCATTCTTTGGAATAATTGCCTGTTTTTTTTCTTTTCGTCATCCCTGGCATCTGTTAAAGAGAAAGCAGGGCATGGCTCAGATTCTCAAGAGAAACCACACATTATTCTCCCTCTCCCTCTCCCTCTCCCTCTCCCTCTCTCTCTCTCTCTCCCTCTCCCTCCCTCCCTCCCTCTCTCTCTCTCTCTGTTTTCTGAAATGCTTTCATTGTGATGTGAAACGGCCGAAATTCTTTCCACAGGAAATAGCTCACAGCAAAGATAAACGGCATCCAGTTCCATTTCTGAACTCTGTGGAATATAGAACGGCTCTCGTGAAAAGAGTTCTAATCCAGGCCTCGGCCTATAGAAACTGAGTAACCCAAACAACTGTTTTCCAAGTTCTGTCTTTTTTCTTTTTACCCAGTCCCCCTGACACAATTTAGCCAATTTTCACAGTCCGATACCAATTTGTTTGCCCTCCAGGCAACTTGCAGGGCAAGGAAGAATCTGAATGGTAAGATTTCCCCCCCCTGTCCAAACTGCTTCTTTTTAATTTGCACAAACGAAGAAGGCCGGTAATTGTTAACAAGATAACATTTCTCTGGGCCGGGGGAGGGGGGGGGTTGTCAGAAATTCCACTAATCATCAAGTGTAACCTTGACACTTTGTGAGAGTTTTCCTTCCTCTTCCTTTTGCAAAGAAGCATATTAACAAGGTGTCGAACTTCATAACGTGGGTCATGTTGGTGTGGGCTTTGTTTTTTGTTTGTTTCTTGTCTGTCAACGAGGATATTTCTATCGTCACTTAACACAACCAATTGAGAATAGCTTTAAACTGTGATAGGACAAACCAAAATCTAGAGAACTTGTCCAGATCCCCGGATTGTTTTTTTCTTCCTGTTTATTCAGTTGACTGTAACCCTCGGCGACGGAAAACTTAAGGATTCCACGTGAGAAAGCAAATCTACCTTTTGTGATATTTGCACCGTGTGGCAAAAACGATTGGGTTTTGTGGTTGACTTTTAACAACTGAACTCGCAATGTCCTTCCGGGGTTCGTTTGCACTTAAGAGGCCACTGAAATGCATTGCGGATTATCTGAGAGGGGATTAGATCAAGGAGGCTTTTTCAGATCTTGGAAGGATCTTAACAAACTTCTGGACAATAGAAATCTACCACCATCGCTGCTTTTCCAAGGGCTCTTGAAGATTATACTGTATATTTCGTGGGGATCATGATTGACCCTGCCACTGGAATTTAAGCCTCTAAAGAAATCATAAAGGTGTGAATTCTGCTCCCACTAAAATTATTTGCACAGTCTGTTTCCCAGTTATTAAACGGCGTTAAGTGTGGTAAGCAATTCTCCTCGAGCCACGCATTAAAATAGGCAGGCCACATAAGATCAGCAGAGATAACTTCCGTGGCATTTATAGGCTGAGTTCTTGCATCGTTCTTGTCTCATATCGTGGCGCCTTCGGCCACGTCCAAAAATCAAGGACTCGGGCGAACGGGTCAAACAACTTGAAACAATGCGAAAGGCAGCCTGCGGGAGTCTGCGTATAGTAACTTTTGGACAGAGGCCGGCAAATCTGGCCACGTTGAAGATGCGTGGCCTTCGACTCCCGGAATTGGCTGTGGAATTCTGGGAGTCGAAGTCCACGCGTCTTAAAAAGTAGCCAAGATTGAAGACCCCCTCTCCCCCCGCCCTACAAGGAGGATCAGATGGCAGGGTGCAGAATGGACTCTTTCTGATGATAACTTGGAGGATGGGAAGAAAGTTCTCTAAATTTTGCTCAACCTCCAGTTGCCTTCTTCTAAAGTTATCACCGTTCATCAACTAAGAAAGCTGGTCCCTCCGTGAAGGTCTTCAGGCAAGATCAGAAAGCAGGCTAGGCGTGACTTGTTTCTGGCAAGGGCTTTGCCTTGTGCCCCAGGTGAGCCCGCCACCTAGCCGTCCCCCCATATCAAAGAAACTGTAAAAAAAAAAATACGGACAGGTGGGCTTTTTTTAACCTCAGCTAGGCTTAAGGATCACTTCTGCTGAAAGCTTTTGGGACAGCTCAACGATTAGGACAAAAAACACCCCACCATCATGTAGGATGCTCTCTTCCATCGCGAGTATCGCGCAGGTCAGCAGAAGTCCTCCTTGAAAACTGCGAGTAAAGCTTACTTGAGGTTGGAGCACGAAACTCCTCCTCCAGCCCGCAGTCTTCCCTCTGATAAGCATTTGCAGCTTTTTCCAGGAACCTGGAGTTTAGCTGTGACGCCACTTCAGCGGGAAAGAGAAAGGGCCAATTTATCCTCAGATTGTCTCATCCGGAGCCTCTTGAAGTGACCTTCAGCATCCCCCGTAGCCAGAAAAAAGCTGAGCCTGGTCCAGCGATGCAAATTTCCTTCCCCCCCCCATTCTGCATTTTTGGTTGGTTGGTTTACTTGCCCCGAAATGCCTCATCTGCCTTGATGCGCTCCCAGGGATGCAGGAAATCAGCACTTGCTCAGTGTTAGGAATTGGAAAGGCGGGACTAGCTCCGAGTCAAAATTGGACCAACTTTCTGCTTGTTTAAAGCAGAGACGTCCAACCCCCGGCAACTTCGAAGCCCTGCGGACTTCAACTCCCAGAATTCCCCAGCCCAGCCATGCATGGGGATGGAATTCTGGAAGTTGGGAAGTCCACAGGTCTTCGAAGTTTTGCAGAGTTTGGACGTCGCTGCTTTAAAGGGATTGCTTGCTTTAACATTACTTCTCAGGCCTCAGCAATTTGTTATAAAATCCTCTCCCTTTCTCAACCACAACCCAGTATCTCTGCACTGTAGGGCACAGGAAGTTTTCCAGAAATGCATTTAAATCTCTTGTTTGTTTGGGTTTTTTTTTTTTTTCTCCTTCAATAACTTTTTTTTTTTTTTTTTTTTCATTTTTTTACCACTTTTTAATGTGTTTTTTAACTTATTCTTTTGTAATGTCTTGGGTTTTTAAATATTGCTGCTACCCTTGTTACTCTTCTCACCCTTTATATTGCAGATTTTATTTTGTAAAAAAAAAAAGTTGTACACTAATGTGTTTTTGTTTTGTTTTTTTCATTTTATGTCTAAATCAAAGTATTTAAAAGAAATGCTAGTTCTATTTAATGTGTTATGGAGCCGGCTGGAATAAACAGTGATTGTGTAGTAGGGGTGGGGCCCGGGAAGGTCATGTCCATTTTTGTTACATATGCAATAAACTCTCACAACTTTAGTTTCATGTCTTGATTTTTTTTTTTTATTGTTACTATATGTTTTGAAAGACTGTGTTAAAATATACAGTGGGAAAATTAGCAAGTTTTCTCAGTTCAGGTTGAACAACTGAGGTTCAGCTGAGTTTACAATTAGGGGTAGTCCTCGACTTTTTATTACCATGAAGCCCAAAATTTCTCTTGCTATGTGAGAGTTGTTAAGCGAACCACGGCATTGTTAAATTAGTAACACGGTTATTAAGTGAATCATTTGACTTGGCTTGCCAGAAAGTTGCAAAAAGGAATCATATCACCTTGGGACACAGCAAGGATGAGCCTGTTGGCAAGCATCTGAATTTGGATCATGTGACTATGGGGATGTCGTGATCGTCATAGCGATGTATACAGTCCTAAGTCCCATTCATTGGTGCCTTTGAACAAATCACTAAACCAGTGTTTCTCAACCTTGGTAGCTTGAAGATGGGTGGACTTCAACTCCCAGAATCCCCCAGCCAGCGCTGCAAGGTTGAGAAACACTGCACTAAACAAACTGTTGTAAATACCTGTACTAGGGAGGGCCCAATACCTGTACTAGGGAGGGCCTAACAGTTTGTGAACTGTGTCTTCTTATCACCACCTGTAAGGTAAAGGTTCCCCTCGCACATATGTGCTAGTCGTTCTCTACTCTAGGGGACGGTGCTCATCTCAGTTTCAAAGCCGAAGAGCCAGCGCTGTCCGAAGACGTCTCCGTGGTCATGTGGCCGGCATGATTCAATGCCAAAGGCGCACGGAACGCTCTTACCTTCCCACCAAAGGTGGCCCCTATTTTTCTCCTTGCATTTTTTTTACCTGCTTTCGAACTGCTAGGTTGGCAGAAGCTGGGACAAGTCACGGGAGCTCACCCCGTTCCGCGGCACCAGGGATTCGAACCGCTGGACTGCCGACCTTTCGTCACCTTCTGTATGATCCTTTAATTGGGAATCCTATCCAGAGACGTCTTCCAATGCAGAATAAGAGCCCTACAGGTCCAATCCTCGTTTAGCAATTGTCTTCTTTAGCAACCATCGTGACGGTGATGAAAAAGGTAGCTTTAACAACCAATCCTCACCTTTATGATCTTTGGGTATCGTAGTTCTAATATACCGAACAGCCGTTTTGGGGTACCCCTGCTTCACGCATGCTAGCTAGCGGGTGTTTTTAAGGACAGTTTGTTCTAATTGACATGCAATGCCGGAAGGCATACATTAAAAACTACCCAATAATAACCCCTTCCTTCCAAACCTAAAAATACCATAAAACAATCTTTTTAAAAAATGAGTCAAGATGGGCACAAAATATCTTGATGCCGTACTCGGGCAAAACCCAGGGTTTTTTTTAAAGAGTTTTCTGTAAAATCAGGGACACCCAAATCTAGAGAAGATCGGGGTTCCATAGGGCAGTCCCTCGCACACAAGGCCCATCTCCTGGGTCCAGTCAGAGGATACTCTTATAAGTGATGGGCCTTGGATCATGACCCCCCCCCCCTCCTACCTTCCTGATTGGACTCAAGCAATTGGAGACCACAGAGTGCCATAGATCGCTTTGTAGTTCATAACTAGCTTTCTTGACTTATGCCCAGAATCTTCCTGGCATCCAGTACGGTTGGCGAACATTGAGGGGTGCCCATAAATTCTTGGGGTGGGGGTGTGCTATGTTCTAGACCAGCTGCAGCTTCCAAGTTGAGCAGTCCCATCCTAAGTCACATACTAGTCATCCGGATGAGTGAGGAAAGCAAGGATTTTGAGACTGCTCTAGGAATGGAGAAGCCAAGAAGGCGTCAACATTGCTCAACCCATCTACTGAAACCTGCCTTCCTGCAAAAAAAAAAAAAAAACCCCACCGGTATGATTTATGTCGATTGCTTCTTTTGTATCCTATGACTCTCGCGGAGTGTTGTACCTTATGATTTATGATGAATGGATCTTATGATTATCATTGTGATTTGTCACTTGGCTGCTTGTATGTACACCGAGAGCTTATGCGCATTCCTTGTCTGTCCAATCACACTTGGCCAATAAAGAATTCTAAAAAAAAAAAACATTCCTTCATATGTTGCCGAAACTGGCTACGCTTTTCAATCTCTCCCTGGGTTTTGTGGGAAGCAAAACTTCCAGGCCAGCCGAGCTGCTACTTCCTCCTTCCTCTGGTTGATCAAACATGGCCTTGTGACCAGTTTTAAACCTTAGCCTCTGGCAAAACAATAACCCGGCAAGCTGCTCAATTGGCCGGATTAATGTTGCCGCTGGGCCTGGAGTTGTTCCGTTACCTCCGGCTCCCACCTGCATACACGGGGTAAAAGGTAATACGTGAGCCATTTGAACAGGTCGCTGTTGTTGTTTTTTTTTCTGGTTTTTTTTTCCTCCCCTGTGGCCAAGGACTTGCAAACCTTCCAGGCTGCACACAATGGATGGCTTGTTTTGACAGGATGGAGAGATGGGTTGCTTCGAAGTAAAACGTTCACTGCCAGCGAGGTGTTTTTCACCTAGGTACTCGATCCATTTTCTGGAGGGACCCAATACATGATCCAAAACAGTCCAGTGTTTTCCAATCTTGACAACTAGAATAGAATAAGAGAGTTGGAAGGGACCTTGGTGGTCTTCTAATTCAACCCGCTGCTTAGGCAGGAAACCCTACACCACTTCAGACAAACGGTTGTCCAATCTCTTCTTAAAAACTTCCAGTGTTGGAGCATTCACAACTTCTGGAGGCAAGTTGTTCCACTGATTAATTGTTCTAACTGTCAGGAAATTTCTCCTTAGTTCTAGGTTGCTTCTCTCCTTGATTAGTTTCCACCCATTGCTTCTTGTCCTGCCCTCAGGTGCTTTGGAGAATAGCTTGACTCTCTCTTCTTTTTAAGATGCACGGACTTCAACTCCCCACAATTCTCCAGCCAGCACTGTTGAATCAGATCGAGACAGGCGCCTGTCTGTGAATTTTCTCATTTTCCCAGAAGCAGCGAGTTTAATTTCAAATCATTTCCCTTCCAGAATTGCTCCAGTCAATGTTAGTTTTTGATCATTGAGCTCCACCTCGTGGATAACATGTTAGGGAAAAATATATGTTATCATAAGTCGAAACGTTCATGGTAACCAAATGTAACTAACAAATGGAAGAGAAAAAAAAATCAGACACAGGAATACCCTTAAAAATCACAATATTTACCTTTGTGGTTTTGTGTAAACAACCACTTTTACTGCTGTTTACAGTACAGTATCATCTAAAGGGAAACATGGGCAGGATGTAAAAACGATGTTTAGACTCTAGAAAGAGTGCAGAGAAGAGCAACAAAGACGAAGAATGATTGCGGGAACTGGGTATGTCTAGTTTAATGAAAAGAAGGACTAGGGGAGACATGAGAGCAGTTTTCCAATATCTCAGGGGCTGCCCCAAAGAAGAGGGAGTCAAGCTATTCTCCAAAGCACCTGAGGGCAGGACAAGAAGCAACGGGTGGAAACTAACCAAGGAGAGAAGCAACTTAGAGCTAAGGAGAAATTTCCTGACAGTGAGAAGAATTCATCAGTGGAACAAGTTGCCTCCAGAAGTTGTGAATGCCCCAACACTGGAAGTTTTTAAGAAGAGGTTGGATAACCGTTTGTCTGAAGTGGTGGAGGGTTTCCTGCCTGAGCAGGGGGTTGGACTAGAAGACCTCCAAGGTCCCCTCCAACTCTGTTATTCTTTTCTATTTTGTAATTTTCTTTCCAAGGGACAGACCTTTTTGTTCATGGAATGGATTGCGATATTTATTCTTCCAAAGAAGCAGAAGGAAGCCAAGCCTAATATACTCCATTTTCTAATGGAATAAAATAGGAACATCTTCACTTTTTTTCTCTCGCCAGATGTTAATGATAAACAGTTCCCATAACTGACCAGGCTCATCCCTGGGAGGAGATCCCGTAAATAGGGGGGGAGGGGAGGGGAGGGGGGCAGCAGCAGCTTGAATGCTGAACGTCCTGGCAATTTTAAAGAAGCATGGATAAGCCAAGTACTCCAGGCTTTTTCAGAACTTGGATGTTTTGAAGCTGCTATATAAAGTATCATCCCTAGCCATGGAAGTCTCTTTCTGTTAAAAAAAACAAAAACAAAATAAAATAATTGGCTGGCTGGCTGGAAGTTGAAGTCCTCACACTGTTAAGTTACCAAGCTTAGAAACACTGGTCTAGATAACATCCAGAAGCAGATTGGCTGGCTGGCTGGGGAATTCTGGGAGTAGAAGTCCACACATCTTAAAGTCATCAAGGTTGCTGTTTGGGGAATTCTGGGAGTTGAAGTCCACACATTGACTTCAACAGAGATGAAATCCAGATAGAGAAACAACCCCGAGTAGCCTTGGACTTAGAATAACTTTATTGCCACTTTAAACGTACACTAATCAGCATACATTAAAATGAAATTGCACACAGCTCTCTGAGGTTCACCACCTCCAACATACACTATATATAAACATGACAAAAATATAAATAAAATAGATAAGATGGATAGAGATAGAAGACACAGATACACGAAATGATAGATTAGATATTGTACATAGATTAGATAGAAGACACAGATAGATACACAAAACGATAGAAGTAGATTAGATATTGTAGATAGATACTGATAGAATAGAATAGAATAGAATAGAATAGAATAGAATAGAATAGAATAGAATAGAATAGAATTCTTTTATTGGCCAAGTGTGATTGGACACACAAGGAATTTGTCTTTGGTGCATACCCTCTCGAGTACATAAAAGATACATTTATCAAGAATCAAAACTTAATGATAGTCACAGGGAAACAGTCAATATAAATCGTAAGGATACCAGCAACAAGGTTACAGTCATACAGTCATAAGTGGGAGGAGATGGGTGATATTTTCAGAGATAGATAGATGATAGATAGATAGATAGATAGATAGATAGATACAAGTAGGTTAGGTATTGTAGATAGATAGATACTGGTAGATAGAATAGGGTTAGGGTTAGGGTTAGGAGAGAGAGATGATAGAGATAAATAGAGTTAGAGATAGTAGATTAGATATCATAGATAGATACCAATAGATAAATAGATGATAGAGATAGATTGATAGAGATAGAGATAGATAGATATTGTAGATATACCGATAGATAGATGATAGATAATGATAGATTAGAGAGAGAGAGAGAGAGAGAGAGAAGTAGATTAGATATTGTAGATAAATAGATACCAGTAGATAGGATGGATGGATAGATAGATAGATAGATAGATAGATAGATAGATGATAATAGTTATAGATGATAGATATAGATGATAGGTAGATAGGTAGGTAGCTGATAGATAGATAGATAGATTAGAGAGAGAGATTAGATATTGTAGATAAATAGATACCAGTAGATAGAATAGATAGATAGATAAATAGATAGATAGATAGATAGATAGATGGATGGATGATAGATAATAGATATAGATGATAGGTAGATAGGTAGGTAGCTGATAGATAGATAGATAGATAGATTAGAGAGAGAGATAAGATATTGTAGATAAATAGATACCAGTAGATAGAATAGATAGATAGATAAATAGATAGATAGATAAATAGATAGATAGATAGATAGATGATAATAGTTATAGATGATAGATATAGATGATAGGTAGATAGGTAGGTAGCTGATAGATAGATAGATAGATAGATAGATAGATAGATTAGAGAGATTAGATATTGTAGATAAATGGATACCAGTAGATAGAATAGATAGATAGATAAATAGATAAATAGATAAATAGATAGATAGATAGATAGATAGATAGATGGATGGATGATAGATAATAGATATAGATGATAGGTAGGTAGGTAGGTAGATGATAGATAGAATAGATAGATATAGATTAGAGAGATAGATGATAGAGATAGATAGAGATAAGTAATAGATGGATAGATAGAAGTGGATTAGATATTGTAGATATACCGATAGATAAGACAGATGATACAGAGAGATTAGAGAGAATTGTAGCTAGAGAGGCAACATAGGTTACATAGAAATAGAGAGATAGGAGATGATGTTATAGAGGGACAGACAGAAGGTCTCTGAGCCTTGCAAGATGCAGGTCATCCTGGCCCATCTCCTTCCATCTATTCCTCTGGGATTGGCCTGACCTGCTGGAGACTCCCCGCCTTCACCCCAACCAACCAACCAACCAGCCACCCTCAACTCCAGCCCAGCCCAGCCCAGCCCAAGCCAGGAGGGCATCCAGCCTCACCGCCTCCTCTCTCTCTCTCTCATCCTCTATGGTGCCGCCTCTCCCTCCGCGCGCTCTATGGCACCGCGTGCTCCCTGCCCCGGCCCCGCCCCCCTCCCACGTCCTGCGGTCACGTGGCAGGCGGGAGGGGGGGGCGGCGCTGCGTGAGGCGTGCGTGCGTGCGTGAGGGGCGGAGGGAGGGAGGGGGCGGCGCCGAGGAGGGAGGGAGGGAGGGAGGAAGCCGGAAGCGCCGGAGCCTCGCGCGGGGGTCGGGCCGGAGCGCGAGGGGCAGGCCGGCCTGCGAAGGCCCGGACGGGGCAGCCGGCCAGGGATCGAGCGGGGCAGCGGGCGGTGAGTGAGGGGAGGAAGGAGGGAGGGAGGGAGGGGGGGCTCTCTTCCTTTCCTGGGGGGGGAGGGGGTCTTGCTTTCCCCCCCTTCCTTACCTCTCTTGGGTGGGGGGGTCTTCCCCTCCGCCCCCTCCCTCTCCCCCTTTCTTGGGGTCCCCGCCCTCCCTTTTCCTTTGGGGGAGGGGTCTTCCCTTCACCCCCCCCTTCCTGGGGGGGATCTTTCCCCTCCTGCTTCTCCTTTCCTGTGGGGAGGGGCTTCTTCTCTTCCTTTTATGGGGAGGGGGCTTCTCTTCCTGGGTCCCTTTCCTGGGTGGGGTGGGGGTCTTCCCCGCCACCCCCTCCCTCTCCCCCTTTCTTGGGGTCCCCGCCCTCCCTTTTCCTTTGGGGGAGGGGTCTTCTGTTCACCCCCCCCTTCCTGGGGGGGATCTTTCCCCTCCTGCTTCTCCTTTCCTGTGGGGAGGGGGCTTCTTCTCTTCCTTTTATGGGGAGGGGGGCTTCTCTTCCTGGGTCCCTTTCCTGGGTGGGGTGGGGGTCTTCCCCGCCACCCCCTCCCTCTCCCCCTTTCTTGGGGTCCCCGCCCTCCCTTTTCCTTTGGGGGAGGGGTCTTCTGTTCACCCCCCCCTTCCTGGGGGGATCTTTCCCCTCCTGCTTCTCCTTTCCTGTGGGGAGGGGGCTTCTGCTCTTCCTTTTATGGGGAGGGGGCTTCTCTTCCTGGGTCCCTTTCCTGGGTGGGGTGGGGGTCTTCCCCGCCACCCCCTCCCTCTCCCCCTTTCTTGGGGTCCCCGCCCTCCCTTTTCCTTTGGGGGAGGGGTCTTCTGTTCACACCCCCCCCTTCCTGGGGGGGATCTTTCCCCTCCTGCTTCTCCTTTCCTGTGGGGAGGGGGCTTCTGCTCTTCCTTTTATGGGGAGGGGGGCTTCTCTTCCTGGGTCCCTTTCCTGGGTGGGGTGGGGGTCTTCCCCGCCACCCCCTCCTTCTCCCTCTTTCTTGGGGTCCCCGCCCTCCCTTTTCCTTTGGGGGGGGTCTTCTCCCCCTTCCTGGGGGGGATCTTTCCCCTCCCTCTTCTCCTTCCCTGGAGGGGGGCTTCTTCTCTTCCTTCCACTTCCCTTTTATGGGGAGGGGGGCTTCTGTTCCACCTCTCCTCCTCGTCCCTTTCCTAGGTGGGGTGGGGGTCTTCCCCGCCACCCCTTTCCTTCTTTCTTGGGGTCCTCTCCCTCCCTTTCCTGGGGGGGGTCTTCTCTTCCTTCCACTTCCCTTTTATGGGGAGGGGGGCTTCTCTTCCCCCTTTCCTCCTCATCCCTTTCCTGGGTGGGGTGGGGGTCTTTCCCACCAACCCCTCCTTCTCCCTCTTTCTTGGGGTCCCCGCCCTCCCTTTCCTGGGTGGGGTGGGGGTCTTCCCCGCCACCCCTTTCCTTCTTTCTTGGGGTCCTCTCCCTCCCTTTCCTTGGGGGGGGTCTTCTCTTCCTTTTATGGGGAGGGGGGCTTCTCTTCCCCCTTTCTTCCGCATCCCATTACTTTCCAGGGCGGGTGGGCGGGTGGGATCTTTCCGTTCCCCCCCTTCCTGGTGGGGGGGGAGGGGATATTTTCCCCCTCTTCCGCTTCTCCTTTCCTGGGGGGGGACGGTCTTCTCTTCCTTCCACTTCCCTTTTATGGGGAGGGGGTCTTCTCTTCCCCCTTCCATCCTCGTCCCTTTCCTTTCCTGGGTTGGGGGGGGCTGTCTTCCCCTTCTTCTGTCTCTTCTTTCCTGGGGGAGGGGTCTTCTCTTCCTTCCCTATCCCCTCTCTTTCCTTTTATGGGGGGGGTCTTTTCTTCTCCCTTCCCTCCTCGTCCCCTTCCTTCCTTTCCTTGGAGGGGGGCTGTCTTCCCCCTCTTGTACTTCTCCTTTCCTGGGGAGGGGTCCCTCCCTTTCCTTTCCTGGAGGGGGGGGTCTTCTGTTCCTCCCCATCCCCTTTCAATTCTGGTGTGGGGGCAAGGTTTTCTCTTCCCCCTTCCTTGCCCTTCCTAAGGGGTCTTCCCCTCCCCTCCTCATTCCCTCCCCTCCCCTTCTTTTCCTCTGTGTGTGGAGTCTTCTCTTCCTTCCCCGTCCCCTCCCCTTCCTTTTATAGAGGAGGGGGGTCTTTTCTTCCTCGTCCCTTTACTTTCCTGGGGGTGGGGTCTTCTCCCCCTTCCCTTTCCATTTCTGGGGAGGGGGTTGTTTTCTCCCCTCCTGCCCTTCCCCTGCCCTACTTTCCGGACTTGGCACCCCTGGAAGGGGGCTCTTTCCTCTTTCCTCCCCCCCCCCCCTTCCCCCAAGAGGTTTGCCCCCCCCCCCCCCCCCCCCCCCGGGGTTTACCCCCCCCCCCCAAAAATTTTTTCTCTTTTTTTCCCCCCCCCCCCCCCCCCGCCCAATGATAGACAGGTGGGCTCCCACCTCAGCCCCCTTAATTTCACCCCTTCTCCACCCCCTCCCCAATCTATGCCCCCCCTTTGGCGTGCTTTCCCTCTTCCTTATTGGAAATAAATACTGCCCCCCCCCCAGCTAATCCAATCCTCTTTTTCATTTCACTTTCTCTTCCGCTTTGCGAGTTTCGTTGGTTGGTTTTCTTTTGCTTTTCCCTAATTCTTGCTGCTTGATTTTCCAACAGCATTTTTTTTTTTAATTTGATGTATATGCCGCCCTTCTCCGGAGACTCAGGGCGGCTTACAATGCGCTAAGCAATAGCCTTCATCCTTTTGTATATTTATACAAAGTCAGCTTATTGCCCCCACAAACTGGGTCCTCATTTCACCTGCCTTAGAAAGGATGGAAGGCTGAGTCAACCTTGAGCCTTGGCGAGATTCGAACCCTGCAGTAATTGCAGGCAGCTGGTCTTAATAAGCTTAATAACAGGGTGCCTTAAACCCCTGTACTACCAAGGCTCTTTACCAAGCATTGCCCCCCGCCCCCCACCTCTCTCAACCCCTTCCTCTTTAGGATATCCTTCGGCCTCCCTCTTCCCCTTCCTGGCGTGTTGCTTCTGGGGGTCTCCACCGCCCTGCAAGGCCTTCGAGAAAGGGTGGGGGGTGTTGGTGGATGGCCCAGCACCTGCTTCTCTTATAAACAGCCGAGTCTCGGTTTCAAATCCTGCTGCTTTTCACCCTGGGGTTAAGCCAGAGAAGAGCCTTGGTAGTACAGTGGTCTAAAGCACCCCTGTTATTAAGACCAGCTGCCTGCAATTACTGCAGGTTCGAATCTCGCCAAGGCTCAAGGTTGACTCAGCCTTCCATCCTTTCTAAGGTAGGTAAATTGAGGACCCAGTTTGTGGGGGCAATAAGCTGACTTTGTATAAATATACAAAAGGATGAAGGCTATTGCTGAGCGCATTGTAAGCCGCCCTGAGTCTCCGGAGAATTTAATTTTAATCAAATTTAAAAAAAAACAAAAAAAAAACCTTTCTGGGTTTTATAGCCAGATGTGGTTTGGCCCGCTATAAATTCACTTTTTATGTTGTTGGCATCCTGACAGTCTCAGACTTGTCCTCCGCTGGGCCTTTTATCCTTTTTAAACTTTCTTTGCTGGCCAAATTGGTGCTGGCTGACTTGATTTTGAAATCAGCCTTTATTGCAGTGTTTCTCAACCTTGGTAGCTTGAAGATAGGTGGACTTCAACTCCCAGAATCCCCCAGCCAGCAGCGCTGGCTGGGGGATTCTGGGAGTTGAAGTCCACCCATCTTCAAGCTTCCAAGGTTGAGAAACACCACTTTATTGTGTATATTGGAATTTGCTCCCGGCTTTTCAAGCTGCTTTAATCTATGTCCAATTCCCCAAGGATTCCCACAGTACCAAAATGACTCGGAGATCTGAAATCATGGCTTCGCCCTCCCCAATTGAAGACAATATAGGTAGCCTCTGCTTAAGGCAGTTTGTTTAGCGGCCGTTTGAAGTTACGATGGCACTGGGAAAAGGGAACTATTTTTCACACTTAACGACCGTTGGATTTACATTTGAATTTGTTGACAGCTGGCTCACCTTTATGACGGTTGCAGTGTTCCCGGAGTCACGTGATTTCCCCCTTTTTGCGAACCTTACGACAAAGTCAGCGAGGAAACCAGATTCACATTTATTTATTGATTGATTGATTGATTGATTGATTGATTGAATGAATTTCTATACCACCCTTCTCCCGAAGGACTCAGGGCGGTGAACCGATTAAGATTTCATATACATATAAAAATATATATATATATATATATATATATATATATATATATATATATAATGCATATTCTTTCTAGCCAGGTTTTACCTACGTAAGCTAAGATGTTCTACAGCTTACGTAGGTTAAACCTGGCTAGAAAGAATATGCACATAAAAGCCTACGAAAAAGAAAAAGATATATATATATATATATATATAGATATAGATAGATAGATAGATAGATAGATAGATAGATAGATAGATAGATAGATAAACATATATATATGTTATATTAACTTAACAATCTCATTTAACAACCGCAGGGCTTCCATTAGCCCAGGTGGCAAGAAAAGTCATAACCCGGGACAAAACTTCACTTAACAACATAAACTCTGGGGCTCAGTTGCAGGGTCGTAAGTTGACCTGCGCTGCTAACTTTTAAAAAAAAAAACTACCTAGCCCGGAGTCAAAAAATAGTTTGAAGGACTGCCTCCGTCTCAACCCTTCCGGTCTTCAGGCCAAAATGCTTCATGGACTTTCCGAATCCTCTTGAAGTTTTGAATGTAGAAAATCTCCAAAGAACTTTAAAAAAAAGAAAATCAGGTTTTAATTCTTCATTAACATTTGCTTTCATTTACCTTTGGGGGTTTTAAATTAGGATTTTCCCACCTGAATGTAAACGTGGTTTATCGGTTGAACAAATCAGACACACAATTCTGTTCCTTTTTGCATTTTTTTTTTTTTTTAAGCTACGTGTCTGCTCGTCCTCCGAGCCATATTGCTCTTCTCTCATTTATGGAATGGCCCTTTCCCCCTCTCCCTTTAAATTCTCTCTCCCACCTTTTCTGTTTTCTCCCCCCCCCCCATTCCCACAAGCTCCCTTTTCCTCTCTCCCCCCCCTCCCCCTTTCCCTCCCTAAAACAATCTTTGCTTCTCCTTGGAAAGTCGTTCACGGGGATTATGAGAATTAAATTTCCTGGTTTGTAACTGCTGGCAGGGACAAAGTCCATTTACCTGCAAATCTAGTTTTGTGTGCAATGAAAACACAAGGCAGTCTGCTCATCTGAACTGTTGTGGGTTGGGGGAAAGGAGAGCCAGGAATTTGGGGTGGAGAGAAGCAGGGCAGATCCTGAATTTGTCTGCTGCCTGTTGTGAGAATAACTCGAATGGAATGGATTTACTGAGATGGTTTGTAGGAATTTTCTAGTCCCAGCCTTGTAGATTTGGGATATGAGTGATTTTCTTCCTTAGCCTTGGGAGTCAGCAGCAGAGCATGGTGTCTCTGTGTGTGTTTGTGTGTGTATGTGTGATTAAGCTCTACAGCAGGGGTCTCCAAACTGACAACTTTCAGGCTGGTGGACTTCAACTCCCAGAATTCCCCAGCCAGCGTGGGTCTTAAAAGTTACTTGGGGAATTCTGGGAGTTGAAGTCCACAAGTTGTCATGGCTAAGGAATTCTGGGATTTGAAGTCCACCAGTCTTAAAGTTACTTGGGAATTCTGGGAGTTGAAGTCCACACAAGTTGCCATGGCTAATGAATTCTGGGAGTTGAAATCCACCAGTCTTAAAGTTACTTGGGGAATTCTGGGAGTTGAAGTCCATCAGTCTTAAAGTTACTTGGGGAATTTTGGTAGTTAAAGTCCACAAGTTGTCATGGCTAAGGAATTCTGGGATTTGAAGTCCACCAGTCTTAAAGTTACTTGGGAATTCTGGGAGTTGAAGTCCATCAGTCTTAAAGTTACTTGGGGAATTCTGGGAGTTGAAGTCCACACAAGTTGTCATGGCTAATGAATTCTGGGAGTTGAAGTCCACCAGTCTTAAAGTTACTTGGGGAATTCTGGGAGTTGAAGTCCATCAGTCTTAAAGTTACTTGGGGAATTCTGGGAGTTGAAGTCCACACCAGTTGCCATGGCTAATGAATTCTGGGAGTTGAAGTCCACCAGTCTTAAAGTTACTTGGGGAATTCTGGGAGTTGAAGTCCATCAGTCTTAAAGTTACTTGGGGAATTCTGGGAGTTGAAGTCCACACCAGTTGCCATGGCTAATGAATTCTGGGAGTTGAAGTCCACCAGTCTTAAAGTTACTTGGGGAATTCTGGGAGTTGAAGTCCACACCAGTTGCCATGGCTAAGGAATTCTGGGAGTTGAAGTCCACCAGTCTTAAAGGTGCCACCAGTTGGAGACCCCAATACAATACTTTGTAATGTATTCAACTATTGGGATGTCCCCCCCGCAAAATATATATATATATATATATAAGATGAGGTTTTGTTGTCCTAGCTTGACAGTGGTTTCTTGTTGCAACTTTTTGTTCTGTTTGGTCTGCAACCAGCTGGTGGGTTCATTTTTTCCTTCTCTCTGTGCCGATAGAAGAAACGAATCCCCGGTTCCCCCTTCGAAAAGATGAGTTTGGACGCAGTTTAGATTCTGGAGGAAGTCGTGAGCTGCTGTCACAAGGAAGATTCCTGAACTGTGTCCTCTTGAACTTTCTGTTCCTTTCGGAAGGAATCTGTTGCACAGGCCTCTTATGAACCATTTTTTTGGTTTGTCGTTAGAGCTGGGGAGAATTTTTTGCATTCAGGATAATCGATCTCAGGGGCATCCAGTCCTGGCAAACTTCCTTCGACCGGTCGGAGGTGAAATGTTTTTTCGATCGTGGCCCAACGAATCAAGAGATTTTTCCCTTCAAAAGTTCCCTCTGAGTGCATTCCAGAGGGGGGTGGTGGAAAAAAGAAATACCGTGTTTCCCCGAAAATAAGACATCCCCTGATAATAAGCCCAATTGGGCTTTTGAGCACATGTGCTAAAATAAGCTTCCCGAAAATAAGCCCTCCCCGAAAATATTTAACCGCATGTACAGCAGTCCCTTGGGAGTTGGGCGGCATAGAAATGCGATAAATTAAATTAAATTAAATTAAATGCTCCCCGCCATTTCCTCTGGTTAGGGTTAGGGAGACAGAGCTGGAAATCAGGTAAGACGGCAAGAGGAGCCCCGACTTGCTCCAGGCGCTCCAAAATAATTTATTTATTTATTTGTTTTAATTTGTATACCGCTCTTCTCCAGCAGGACTCAGGGCGGTGAACAGCCAGAATAAAACAGAACGTACAAAATTTAAAAAACAGTTTAAAAATAACTAAATATTTTTGGCCACAATCGAAAACAACCCAATTAAAATCAATTAAATTTAACCAAAACAGTGGGATCAAGCCAGCCCGGCTTGGCAAAATAAAATAAATAAGTTTCCGGACACTTCTCCGAAAATAAGGCCAAGCGCTTATTTCGGGGTTCAAAAAAAAAATATAAGACAGGGTCTTATTTCCGGGGAAACGCAGGTAGATAAAGATCAGTGGACAGGTCTGTTGTATTTTATGGCCCCCACCTGTGCCTCTGTTCTCTGCCTCTTGGAAGGATTTTATTGACACCCAAGCAGATGCTGGATCTCTTAAAACCGGCGTGGCCGGAATTTGACGACAGGGCTGGTGTCATGGAACAATTCTGAAGTTTGCTGCAGGCTTTTGGCAACGAGCGCGGAGTCGAAATGGCACGGCGGTGCGTTTCCCAAGCACGCCATTTATTGCGCAGTCCTGCCGCCTCTTGTTGAGATCCATATGTCATATTTCAATTATAGCCCCTCTGTTATTTGCGGTGAGTCTTCCCCGCTCATACACGCCCACGCGCTCACGGTCACCAGACGCATCCCTGGAGGAGGAAGACCACCCCCCCCCCCGAAAAAAGTCATGGCGTGGAGCCTTTTAAGCAGCTGTGGCTAGGAAGAGGGAGCTAAGGCAGAATCTCGAAGCTCCTTTAGGCTCACGGAAACAGTGGTTGCAATACACGAGCCTTGATTTGTGGTGCGCGTGTGGTCTAGAACCTAGCCTAAATGGTTTTTAAATTGGGATTTTAAATTTTATGGATTTGGGGGTTTTAAATTGGGAAGCTAATGATTTAATTCTTTTTTAATTATCTTTTGTATTTGTATGTTTTTTAATTTTGGGTGTTCACCGCCCTGAGTCCCCTCTGGGAGAAGGGCGGTATACAAATTAAATTAATAAATAAATAATAAATAAATAAATAAATAAATAAATAGATAGATAGAACTGCAGCTGCAGGGAGTCTTCGACTTACGACCACAATTGAGCCCCAAATTTCCGGTACTAAGTGAGACATTTAAGTGAGGTTTACCCGGGGTGAAATCTACTTACCTTCCCTACCAGTTCGAAAGTGTGCGCGTGCGTCACATGTGATTTTGGACCCTCTGTGGATGCGGAAAGCCGCCTGTGCATGTGCAGAGGGTAAAAAACAGGTTACTTCCTGGTTAAAACCAGGAAGTAACGACATCCGGGCAGGTGGGTGGAGCCTCGCACTGCCACCGCTACCGGTTCTCTGAATTACTCACCGCCGTCGCTACCGATTCAGCCGAGCCAGTGCGAAACGGTAGCGTTTCACCCCTGGTTTTATCCCGTTTTGCGACCTTTCTTGCCACGGTTGTTAAGTGAATCGCTGCAGTTGTTAAGTCGTTGAGTGCCTTCCCCCTTGATTTTGATCCTGTGATGATTATGAGGTGTGAGAAAAGGAAGGGAGGGCGGGAGGAAGGAAGGAAGGAAGGAAAGAAAGAAAAGAGTAGGGAGGAAAAAAGGGAGGAAGGAAAAGAGGGAGGAAAAAGGAAGGAAAAAAAAGAGGAAGGAAAAAGGAAGGAAGGAAAAGAGGGAGGAAAAAGGGAGGAAGGAAAAGAGGGAGGCAGAAGGAAGGAAAAGAGTAGGGAGGAAAAAAGGAAGGAAGGAAAAGGGAGGAAAAAGGAAGGGAGGAAAAAGGAAGGAAAAGAGTAGGGAGGAAAAAAGGAAGGGAGGAAAAAGGAAGAAAGGAAAAGTAGGGAGGAAAAAAGGAAGGAAGGAAAGAAAAGGAAGGAAAAGAGGGAGGAAAAAGGAAGGAAAAGAGGAAGGAAAAAGGAAAGGGAAAGTAGGGAGGAAAAGAAGGAAAGAAAAGGGAGGAAAAGGAAGGAAGGAAAAGAGGGAGGAAAAAGGAAGGAAGGAAGCCATCCATTCACAGGGGCACAGTTGTTACAATGCAGTATTGCAGGCTAATTCTGCCCACTGCCAGGAGTTTGATTCTAACTGGCTCCAGGTTGACTCAGGCTTCTATCCTTCCGAGGTGGGTCAAATGAGGACCCAGATTGTTGGGGGCAAAGAGGCTGACTCTGTAAACCTCTTAGAGAAGGTTGTAAAAGCACCGTGAAGCGGTATATAAGTCTAAAGGCTCTTGCTCCTATGACTGCAGTAACAAGCTCAAGCAAAAGCCTTGTGGTCAAACGGTCCTCCTCCCTTTTCCAGGGGCTCCTGACCAAGCGGATGTCATGCTCAGGTGCGTAACCTTCTAACATGGAAGACGGAGGTCAGAGAGAAGTCATCGACTTGAATAGTTTCCGGAGCCATCGAGGGAAAGGTAAGTTCTCGAGTAATTCTCAACTTCCGGCCACCGGAATTTCTGTTGCTAAGCAAAGTGGGTGGTGAAATGCCTTGCGCAAGGAATTCTGGGAGTTAAAGTCCAGAGGCCACGAAGACCTGTGTCCACCTCTGTCTTGGGATTTCCCCTCCTGCCTTATATCCATGCAAGCTCGGGCCACGTATTTCAGTCTGGAGTTGGACGGACGGACACCATGCACGAGCCGCCGCGAACCTTCTTGTCCTCCTTTCAGATAGGATTAACCACCGAGACGAGGGACTCATCACGATATCCGACTCCTCGGACGAAGACTTGCCTGTGATGTTGGACACACCTGTTCGCCAGCAGTGGGAAGATGAGGATGATGAAGACGTGGTCATCTTGATGGAGGTAAGGTAAAGGTAAATAAGGTTCCCCTTGCACATATCCGCTAGTCGTTCCCGACTCTAGGGGGCGGTGCTCACCTCCGTTTCAAAGCCGGAGAGCCAGCGCTGTCCGAAGACGTCTCCGTGGTCATGTGGCCGGTATGACTCAACGTCAAAGGCCCACGGAACGCTGTTCCCTTCCCACCAAAGGTGGCCCCTATTTTTCTCCTTGCATTTTTTACCTGCTTTCGAACTGCTAGGTTGGCAGAAGCTGGGACAAGTCACGGGAGCTCACCCCGTTACGCGGCACTAGGGATTCGAACCGCTGAACTGCCGACCTTCCGATCGACAAGCTCAGCGTCTTAGCCACTGAGCCACCGCATCCCTCTCTTCTTGAAATATAAGTGGGGGGGGGAAGAAGAATTATGAATTTCTCCATGGTATTTTCTAAAAAAAAAAAAAAATCTTTTCAACAGTGCAGAAAACAAAACAAAGAAAAAAAACTCCCGTTTTTTTTCTCTTGCAGTTTGGTGAAGGAGCTGAGCGTTTTTCCCAACGACGAGTTTCATAACTCCCGAATACTCTTGAGTTCAGGGCCTTCCCAAACTGATTTTTTTACGTTTTCCAAATAGGCTGCAGCTAAAATTGGGTTTATCTAATAATCATGGCTAAGCCTTAATTATTAAACCACAGTTTGGTGCATCGGCTACAATTAGCCAAGGTCACACTTTGCACGAAACCTCAAGCAAAATTGTCTGGTGTGTAAACCAGGTGCAAAGTTTGAGGAATGTCCCAAGGCTTAAAGCAAAGCACAAGTTTTCCCCCTGCATTCTTGAAATGCCAGATTGCTGTTTTCCAGCTGCTTAAATGTTCTTTGAGCTGATGAGAGGTTTATTACCTAAAATTCATGACATGCATCCCAGCCGCTTTTTATTCTTTCCTCTGAGATATTTTGACAAGTGGGAGCTGTTGGACCAGAAGGTCAAAGTTGTAATTTGAAAGGGCTGCCGCAAGCAAAAGTTGTGCCTTTTTTTTGTGTGTGTGTTGCTGGTAATTTTGTTCTCTTTGGTTCCAGAAGAAATTAAGACTATCCAGGTAGCATAAATTTGTAATTCTCTTTTTTGGGGCGTAAAGATTTATTGGCGATCCTGAAAAATAAAACAGGATTTAGAATACACCTTTTATTCAAAACATCCCAGAACAGCACCGAATGGTATACAGGTATACAGGTAGTCCTCAGCAAATGTCCATAATTAAGTCCTGCAGGCTTAATGACTGCAAAGGTGGCCCCAAAAATGCAGTCACGTGATTCCAGGGGAACCTGGCCATCGGGAACTCGGAATCAGGGTCGTAAATTCCATTCTCAAGGTCTGTTGTAGTTTTACATGGTGGCTAAGCAATTGGATTTAAATTGAGAACTGCTTACTGTATTTTTCGGACTATAAGACGCACCTAAATTTACAGGAGGAAAACAAGAAAAGAAATAGTTTTTGGCCTCCGTGCGTCGGATTTCCGCCCTCCCAGGTCCCCAGAAACACTCTGCAGTGCTCTGCAAGGCCCATTTTTGCCCAAAACAGGCCTGTTTTCACCCAAAAGTGCACCTGGTTTTGGCCTGCAGAGTGGTTCTGGGGACCTGGGAGAGCGAAAATCCGATGCACGGAAGCCAAAAACACACGTCGCCCTCCCAGGCTCCATTTTCAGCCGCAACGGCCTCCTGCAGCCCTCTGCCAGCAAAAACGGAGCTGCAGAGGGTTGCAGGAGGCCATCGCGGGCGAAAACGGAGCTCGGGAGCCCGTTTTGACTGGCAGGGCGGTCAGACCCCTACAGGCCCCCCCCCCCACACAAGGGAGTTCAAGCTGGCCCCCCCCCCCCCCCCCCCCCCCCCGAGGTCAAACACAACTCTAATCTAGCCCTCAAGGAAATCGAGTTTGACACCCCTGATCCAGTGGTGGGTTCCTCCTGGTTCGGTCTGGTTCAGCCGAACCGGTAGCGGTGACGATATGACGTCACCGAACTGGTTCTCTCCCCCCCGCGCCCTTCCACCCACCCACGTTATTCTTACCTTTTATTTGGTCCCACCCCCAATCTATTGCTGCCCCCTGAGTCCCAGCTGATGACTAGAGGGGAAAAAAACTGTTTAAACTCTTGCCGTGGGGCTTCAAAGGGCCGCCCTACAGCTGATCAGTGTTAAAAGCAAACAAATGAGTCGGGTCGTAAGTGCGAGGACTGGTTGTAAGTGCGAGGACCTTCCAGAAATGACTCTCTTCAGCCCTCTGAGTAGTCCCTATACACATAGCCCACCTAGCCATATGACCTCCAAGCCACACCCACAAAATAAGCCACGCCCACAGAACCGGTAGTAAAAAAAATTTAGAACCCAACCCTGCCCTGATCTAGACAGAGGAATTTTAGACCTAGCCCCTATTTGCAAAAAGAATGACGAATCTAACTCTTCTCTCTCTCTCTCTCTCTCTGCCTCCTTGTAAAGACAGCCACCAAGAAATTCCTGCGGCCCAACGTCATCAAGCCCGCCGCTCCCTGGCAAGTCATCAACAAGACGGGGGAAGGGGGATCTAACGGCGAAGTGGTGGCCCTCCCTCACAAAGACCAGAAGACCAAACCCTCGACTTCTCCGAGGTTGCCTGGGACACGGCGGAACTGCCCGAAGACCGGAAGTGCTGGACCGGGCAGACCGAGCCAGACCGAAGTCTTGGAGTTACCCGATTCTCCGGATCCTGTTGACCCCAAGGAGGTCAGCGAGACAGAAGCCGGGCCCAGTGTGGTTCCGAAGAGAGAAGTTGCCCCGGAGGTCATTAATTTGGAGGAAGTGAGGGCCGATCGAGACAACCAAGAAGAAGAAGAAGAAGAAGAAGAGAGAGATCGGAGGGTTCCGCCCCGGCTGGCGCCCAACCTCGGGAGGGTTTTGCACTGCGTCCAGGAGAACACGCGGCTGGATCATCCGTACTTCCAGCCGGCGAAGAAAGAGGGACGGACTGGGGTCAATCCTCTTCCTTCTCAGCCGGCGCTGTTGGAAAGAGATCTGGGACCTTTGCCGAAAGTATACCAAGGAGAGATCCCCGGGCCGGCTTTCCCCAGGCCCGAGCCTCAGCAAGATGGAATCCCAGGCCCTGCTTCCCCTCAACCAGCTCACCCCCCCGAGGAAAACGGAGGCCAGCAGGCGGTAATAAACGAGCAGGCCGGTCCGGCGTTTCCAGTCCAAGGATCGCTGGATACCAGCGCTGTTGAGCTTCCCAAGCAGACTGCTACTCTACAGGAGAAAGACCTCCTTGTCTTACTCACCCGAGAAACGGTAAGCCTTAACGGTGGCTTGAATCCCCGGTGGTTTATTTTATTTTATTTTATTTTATTTTATTTTATTTTATTTTATTTTATTTTATTTTATTTAATTTTTTTTATTTTATTTTATTTTATTTTTTTTATTTTTTTATTTTATATTTTATTTATTTTATTATTTTATTGTATTTTATTTTATTTTATTATTTTATTTTATTTTATTTATTTTATTTTATTTTATTTTATTTTATTTTATTTTATTTTATTTTATTTTATTTTATTTTATTTTATTTTATTTTATTTTATTTTATTTTATTTCGAATTTATATACCGCACCTTCTCCCGAAGGACTCAGGGCGGTGTACAGCCAGATAAAAAACATACAATAGAAACATCAAAAACAATTAAAAAGATATATATTAATTTGGCCCCAATTTAAAATAACAAAACAATTAAAAATATTTAAAAAATATATTAAGTTAGAATGCCACCTCTGGCTGGCCCCAGGAGTGGGGAGGGAACGGGGATTTTGCAGTATCCTTCCCCCAGGAGTGGGGAGGGAATGGGGATTTTGCAGTAGCCTTCCCCTGGAGTGGAGAGGGAATGGGGATTTTGCAATATCCTTCCCCCAGGAGTGGGGAGGGAATGGGGATTTTGCAGTATCCTTCCCCTGGAGTGGAGAGGGAATGGGGATATTGTAGTATCCTTCCCCCAGGAGTGGGGAAGGAATGGGGATTTTGCAGTATCCTTCCCCTGGAGTGTGGAGGGAATGGAGATTTTGCAGTATCCTTCCCCTGCCACACCTACCAAGCTACATCCACAGAACCGGTAGTAAAAAAATTTGGATTTCACCACTGGATTCACCCACCCTTCCCCTTTTTCTAGGAAGCCAGGTTTCCAGACGCAACGAGAGAGTACATCGAAGAGCTGATACAAAGCAAAAACTGCAACGACTTAAACATGTAAGTGTAAAAAAAGCTGGGCGTGGAGTCAGCCCTTAAGCCAGAGAACATCGCAGAGTTTGTGGCCAGCTTCCCTTCCTTGCAACCCAACCGAAGATGATTCTGACGGCGTGTCCCAGCTCTCTCGCCTGAACCTTTCGTTTTGGTCTAGGCCAGGGGTGTTAGACTCGATTTCATTGCAGGCCGCATCAGGGTTGTGTTTGACCTGAGGGAGGGGCAGGGGCAGGGGGCGTGGCCAGCTTGACATCACTTGTGTCAGGGACACCCGTGGTGGCCAAGTGCTAAGGTAGACCCTCCCTCCTTCTCATTATAACCTTCCTTCCTTCCTTTCCTTCCTTCCTTCCTTCCTTCCTTCCTTCCTTCCTTCCTTCCTTCCTTTCCCTTCCTTTCCCTTCCCTTCCCTTCCCTTCCCTCTTCATTCTCTTTTCTCCTTCCTTATTTTCCCTTCCTTGCTCTCTTCCCATCTTCCCTTCTTTTTCTTTGTCTTTCCTCTTCCCCTTTCTCCTTTCCTGTCCCTCCTTGCATTCACAAATGCAATAGGGGAAACATTCAGAGTCAAGTCAGCCTTCTGTCCTTCCGAGGTGGGTGAAGTGTGGACCCAGATTGTTGGGGGCCAGAGGCTGACTCTGTAAACCGCTTAGAGAGGGTTGCAAAGCATTATGAAGCGGTATATAAGTCTAAGTCCTATTGCTATTGCCCTTCCTTCCTTCCTCCCTCCCTCCCTCCCTCCCTTCCTTTCTTCCTTCCTCACCTACCTACCTCTTGTCCTTCCTT